AAAATGTTATTAGTGTGTTGTCTGTTTAATCAAACACAAGTGGTCAATATGACAGCAGGTTTCATTGTCTACTTACTTTGTTGGTTGTGTTACGCGATGCGAGTATGCGAACTGAGAGAAGTAGAGTTTCTTTTTACTGTACTATGAAGACAGAATGAATCGATATACGTTGTATGTGTGTGTGTGTGTTTCTGAGTAATCCAACTTTGTACAGGAAGACATTAATTTGTTTGAATTTCTGCCTTTTTGTGAATATATGCATATGAAAGTGTCTTGTCAATGAGTTGTTTTGAATGATTGTTCACTTGTTGTGTAATTATGTGTACGTAGATCTTTGAGCATAGTATGTTGAATAGCCGTTCAGCTACTCCGTGTATATGTGATTCACGACGAGTCGTTTCCTGCGGCTGATATTGAACGGATGCATTGCTATGCCTCTTGTCCATTACAGGGACTTGTTTGGTACGAATGCAGACGACATGTCACTTTAGTTATTTGTCTTGTGCGTAACAGACATGAATTTTTGGGTTATATATATATATATATATATATATATATATATATATATATATATACGGAGAAGAGAGAGACGGGTTCGTTTGATTTTGTGCAAATGTGATTTGGTGATGTGGGCTAATCTTTGTTTGTTATTTGTGTGTGATGACTTGCCGTTGAACTGTTTATCGCATTTATAGTATGTGCTGAACAGTTGTTTGCGGCTGAAAGATAATTTGTCGTGTCGCACATGCAGGTTCTTTATTTCCAAACCCTGTCATCACAACCGACATACATGAAGCTGTGTCCTGATTGTGAATAGTCTTGCCTGATATGTTCGTTTCATTTTATCTAACGAAATTGTGTATGTATATACACAGTTGTACACACACATATAGAGTAGATTTTGTATGTTGATGCTTTATATGAGTGTGTATTAGTATTGTTTGGGCTGTGTCGATTGGTTATGACGAGTAGCCGTTCAGCTGCCCCGTGCATAGTTGATTCACTGTGGGTCGTTTCCTGCGGCTGAGATTGAATGGATGCACTGCTATGCCTCTTGTCCATTACAGGGACTTGTTTGGTACGAATGCAGACGACATGTCACTTTAGTTATTTGTCTTGTGCGTAACAGACATGAATTTTTGGGTTATATATATATATATATATATATATACGGAGAAGAGAGAGACGGGTTCGTTTGATTTTGTGCAAATGTGATTTGGTGATGTGGGCTAATCTTGGTTTGTTATTTGTGTGTGATGACTTGCCGTTGAACTGTTTATCGCATTTATAGTATGTGCTGAACAGTTGTTTGCGGCTGAAAGATAATTTGTCGTGTCGCACATGCAGGTTCTTTATTTCCAAACCCTGTCATCACAACCGACATACATGAAGCTGTGTCCTGATTGTGAATAGTCTTGCCTGATATGTTCGTTTCATTTTATCTAACGAAATTGTGTATGTATATACACAGTTGTACACACACATATAGAGTAGATTTTGTATGTTGATGCTTTATATGAGTGTGTATTAGTATTGTTTGGGCTGTGTCGATTGGTTATGACGAGTAGCCGTTCAGCTGCCCCGTGCATAGTTGATTCACTGTGGGTCGTTTCCTGCGGCTGAGATTGAATGGATGCACTGTTATGCCTCTTGTCCATTACATGGACTCGTTGGGTACGACGTGCAGGTCACATGGGATGTTGATTTGTTAAGGTGTTCATGTCGTTCTTAGCAGTGTATTCGTATGTTTGTTTGTGATTGGTTTTGCTGTGTCTGTAGTCAATCATATAGCTACTATACTGCATTGTTCACGTTCGTGAATGATGTCGTTAGAGTAGCTGATATTTATGCAATGCATTTGATGCGTGTGCGACAAAATGTTATTAGTGTGTTGTCTGTTTAATCAAACACAAGTGGTCAATATGACAGCAGGTTTCATTGTCTACTTACTTTGTTGGTTGTGTTACGCGATGCGAGTATGCGAACTGAGAGAAGTAGAGTTTCTTTTTACTGTACTATGAAGACAGAATGAATCGATATACGTTGTATGTGTGTGTGTGTGTTTCTGAGTAATCCAACTTTGTACAGGAAGACATTAATTTGTTTGAATTTCTGCCTTTTTGTGAATATATGCATATGAAAGTGTCTTGTCAATGAGTTGTTTTGAATGATTGTTCACTTGTTGTGTAATTATGTGTACGTAGATCTTTGAGCATAGTATGTTGAATAGCCGTTCAGCTACTCCGTGTATATGTGATTCACGACGAGTCGTTTCCTGCGGCTGATATTGAACGGATGCATTGCTATGCCTCTTGTCCATTACAGGGACTTGTTTGGTACGAATGCAGACGACATGTCACTTTAGTTATTTGTCTTGTGCGTAACAGACATGAATTTTTGGGTTATATATATATATATATATATATATATATATACGGAGAAGAGAGAGACGGGTTCGTTTGATTTTGTGCAAATGTGATTTGGTGATGTGGGCTAATCTTTGTTTGTTATTTGTGTGTGATGACTTGCCGTTGAACTGTTTATCGCATTTATAGTATGTGCTGAACAGTTGTTTGCGGCTGAAAGATAATTTGTCGTGTCGCACATGCAGGTTCTTTATTTCCAAACCCTGTCATCACAACCGACATACATGAAGCTGTGTCCTGATTGTGAATAGTCTTGCCTGATATGTTCGTTTCATTTTATCTAACGAAATTGTGTATGTATATACACAGTTGTACACACACATATAGAGTAGATTTTGTATGTTGATGCTTTATATGAGTGTGTATTAGTATTGTTTGGGCTGTGTCGATTGGTTATGACGAGTAGCCGTTCAGCTGCCCCGTGCATAGTTGATTCACTGTGGGTCGTTTCCTGCGGCTGAGATTGAATGGATGCACTGTTATGCCTCTTGTCCATTACATGGACTCGTTGGGTACGACGTGCAGGTCACATGGGATGTTGATTTGTTAAGGTGTTCATGTCGTTCTTAGCAGTGTATTCGTATGTTTGTTTGTGATTGGTTTTGCTGTGTCTGTAGTCAATCATATAGCTACTATACTGCATTGTTCACGTTCGTGAATGATGTCGTTAGAGTAGCTGATATTTATGCAATGCATTTGATGCGTGTGCGACAAAATGTTATTAGTGTGTTGTCTGTTTAATCAAACACAAGTGGTCAATATGACAGCAGGTTTCATTGTCTACTTACTTTGTTGGTTGTGTTACGCGATGCGAGTATGCGAACTGAGAGAAGTAGAGTTTCTTTTTACTGTACTATGAAGACAGAATGAATCGATATACGTTGTATGTGTGTGTGTGTGTGTTTCTGAGTAATCCAACTTTGTACAGGAAGACATTAATTTGTTTGAATTTCTGCCTTTTTGTGAATATATGCATATGAAAGTGTCTTGTCAATGAGTTGTTTTGAATGATTGTTCACTTGTTGTGTAATTATGTGTACGTAGATCTTTGAGCATAGTATGTTGAATAGCCGTTCAGCTACTCCGTGTATATGTGATTCACGACGAGTCGTTTCCTGCGGCTGATATTGAACGGATGCATTGCTATGCCTCTTGTCCATTACAGGGACTTGTTTGGTACGAATGCAGACGACATGTCACTTTAGTTATTTGTCTTGTGCGTAACAGACATGAATTTTTGGGTTATATATATATATATATATATATATATATATATATATATATACGGAGAAGAGAGAGACGGGTTCGTTTGATTTTGTGCAAATGTGATTTGGTGATGTGGGCTAATCTTGGTTTGTTATTTGTGTGTGATGACTTGCCGTTGAACTGTTTATCGCATTTATAGTATGTGCTGAACAGTTGTTTGCGGCTGAAAGATAATTTGTCGTGTCGCACATGCAGGTTCTTTATTTCCAAACCCTGTCATCACAACCGACATACATGAAGCTGTGTCCTGATTGTGAATAGTCTTGCCTGATATGTTCGTTTCATTTTATCTAACGAAATTGTGTATGTATATACACAGTTGTACACACACATATAGAGTAGATTTTGTATGTTGATGCTTTATATGAGTGTGTATTAGTATTGTTTGGGCTGTGTCGATTGGTTATGACGAGTAGCCGTTCAGCTGCCCCGTGCATAGTTGATTCACTGTGGGTCGTTTCCTGCGGCTGAGATTGAATGGATGCACTGCTATGCCTCTTGTCCATTAAATGGACTCGTTGGGTACGACGTGCAGGTCACATGGGATGTTGATTTGTTAAGGTGTTCAAGTCGTTTTTATGCTATCGTGATAATTTATGCTTTGTATTCACGGCTGTTGTTTTTACCTTGGCGTGTTGGTCGGGCTTGCCTATCATTATTAATCAACCGAGCTATATTGGCTGGACCATCTGTTCCTCAACGTCCTATCATGGCAGACAGGTCGGTTGAAGAGCGGTAAGACTAATAGCAACAAATCCAAAGTCCGAAGGCTAAATCGTACTGCTGAGTGTACAGAGTTGTGACAGCAGTAAGGTGTTTCTTTCAGACAACTAGCATGACAGCAATGCTGCCTTCGCACAAGAATGGGTGGAGTTAGAAATGGTCGACGCCAAAATTGCACACCTCGCCTTATACCACGGACATCCGTCTCCGGCGGTAAGGTGTCAACAAGTACGGAGCTAACACAAGAACTACTCATAAAAAGGTCGTGTGTGACCGAACGCAGGCAGTTATTCCTTTGGACACTGCGGTCACGCTCTCAGGTCACTAAGACCACCTCTAATCCAATTTCCTTTTCAGGTACCTCCAGCAGAACCCTTCCACGGTGTGGGCAACTGGGAAGTGATAACCGCCCTTATACCTCTAACAGAACTCAAGACCACTGAATGATGCTTTCTTTTTTATAGTCCATAATTTGGTGCTTTTGTTATATTTCAATTTCATCAATTAAGGTTTTAGTTTTTCTAGGAAGTTTTTATTTTTATGTGTAGCTTGTTTTGTATTATTTTTTATCCATTTTTTCTTCAGGTTACCCAGCCGTATGGCTATGAGTATTTTAACCCCGACTACTAGCACTCAGGTCTCAGTGAGCAACAAGGTTCGTGTAATTAAATTATGTTTTACACCTTTTTATGCTTTGCACTTCTAGGTGTTAATCCTTTTTTTCTAATTAAGATGATAGGTGCGATCATGGGTAGGTCCGGTTGTCGTATAAATCAAGTTCGTCATGAGTCAAATGCAGATATTAAAATCAGTAAACAGGAACCCGGTGTTGAAGATCGTATTATTACAATAACTGGAACTCCTGAACAAATTCAAAACGCTCAATTTCTTCTTCAAATGTGGTACGTTGAATATAAATAAATAATTTGAAGCAACATTTTCGTTTTTCTGTGCAACATTGAGTTTAACATGTTCTGTTAACAATATTTTCTCTCTTTTCACTGTTCAAAATTGAAATGTACTAGATCCTCATGATTATAAATATCTTCGTGAATCTGAATCCGGTTCACTAGGTTTTCAACAGTTCATTGATTCGTTGGATAGTAGGTGCCTTAACCAACCTAGAAGTGGAATAAAACACTGAAGATTGGTGATTTCAGTCTCCTTACTTTAATTATATATTGGTCAATATAAATAAGCTGTTCAACCATTGTGTTCGAACTACGCCATGTTTGGGACATTGAACCGATAATTCCTATGTGAGGTTCTACATCGAACTTTAGCAATCAATAGTATATTAGTTATGTACCGATGACGATCTTATAGTATTCATCGTGAATGTTTTTCCATATTTACTGAATAAATTTATAATTGTTTTAGTAACTAATTATTTGTTCTTTTTGTTTTCAGCGTTAAACGATATGGTGATCAAATCTGATTCCTCACTATCATCCTTGTTTTCTTTTTCCTAACTCCGTCTCTTGCGGAACTAAATGAAAACCCACACCCTCCCTAATTTTATTATTCTTGAATGCTTTATCCAATTATTTCAACTACACAGATATGTTCTATGCAGTTAACTTGTTAATGTTTTGTGTTTTTGTAAAAATCGAAAAAAAACTCATTGTTTCATTCTTTACGAATAAAAGCCGCTAGTTAATATGAACGTCACTGGAAATAATTTGGGTCTTTCTTTCATTCATTTTAAAATGTGTTATCATAATACTTATCCGTTTCTCTTCAGCATTTAAAGTAGCGTTTAGCGTCTCAGATAAAATGTTCTTTTACTGAGGTTTATAATTATCAGCAAATCTGATAAACGATGTGATGTGTATTAATAATTAAGTGAATACTTATAGGACTTCCATAGTTTATAAGAGAAAAACTAGATTTGTAGTAACAGTTTAGTCAACCTAGGGGTTTGATCTGAGAATCAATCATGACCATTATGTGTGCGGTTATTTCCGTAGTAATGGCTTCTTATTTTATATACCTTACCTCCAGAACCGAAAGTCCATGTAGAATTTCAACGACTGACACTTTAAGCTACGTAGCTGTGAAAGGTTAGGATGACTGAAGATCCGTTAAAGGTAATCACGCGTCACCACTACCTAAAATCAACAGACCTTACATAGTTTTTGGTGCAGTGCACAAATGACTGCTAGTGGAAATTTAATTTATTGATTATGTATTGGATGCTGTAGCAATCGCTCCAACACACCAGTAAAACAAACATGTATCCTGAAAATTCTCTTCAGTTGACCGTCTTGTAATACCGAAATACCTGTTAGCCTATGTTAAGATTCTGTAGGAAACAGGTTGCATTAATTTCTGACTAAGTAATTCCTTGAGCTGACTCGATTATATGGATGAAATAAAACCAATCTTCAGTCAAGGACTCAGCATAAGCTACAATATAACAACCTGACTGAGTGACTTACTTAGTCCTTTTCGTGATAAACTGCTCGTAATCATAATTACTGGCTAAATAAAACATTTGTTCTTACATAAAATAGATATGATAAGAGATTATTATTCACTATAAAGCCGAGAGCAAACGAAAAGAATTTATATGTTGTTGATTGATTTGTTATTCTCAAATCACCATACGTGATTAAAGTTCTTCCTGTTGCATCAAATTTGGATTGACAGTTGAAAAGATATCATTTTTTGTTTCTACCAAGACTATTTATTAGCTTACGACTTTTGACAGCTATCTAAACATAGTCCGCCTTGATTAGAGCTATTACGAATTTAAGAGGTAACCTCAATACAATGAAAAGCTTATCAGAATTATATGATATGTCAGAGCAATACATTTCGAACAACTGCACAGTTCTGATAAATCCCGTCTTATTATTTTTTTAATTTGTCAAAGGGTCTAACTTTTAACTAATAAATCTAGTCAGGTTCGGATGGGTTGCAGTCAATTCGCTGAACATTGAATTCGTACCATATGTCCTTACAAAAATAAATTATTTCCGCGCTACTAAGAAAATTATCTGTAGTTATTACTACGAATACATGTTGTTTATTGTGTTTACTCACTACGACCTACATGTGTTTCATATTCACTAAGTTTAAGATGGTTCTCCAGTAACACTTATTTTAAAAAGGAGATTAAGTAATCGAATTTCTTGGTCATTGACGATATCTCAATACAAAGTCGCTTCGCACTTACCACCTGTGACCTTGGTGCGACGTCCGACTTCTTACAAAAAGTGAGCTTACCATGATGTATCCAACTGCCTTGCTTCGTCAAATACTACAGGTAAACGTGGGAAGTATACAACACCTTTAAGGCTGAGCGCCAACTTCTACCAAAGGTGTGCTAAATGACAAGCTGGTATGTGGTGAGTTCCGTTTGGTCTTTCGAATAGCCACGCAATATACAGAAATAAATGTGCTAGTGCATTGTGTGATGTGATCATTTTCCCAAGTCTTATCGCTGCTATATATAAAGAGTTAGGAAAGTAAACTCTACAAACTAGGCTTTCCATATACTTGATTGAAGCAGTTGTCTTATGTAGTATAATAATACCGATAATTCAATTCCGCTTTCATAGAGCTTACGAAATGGCACCCTTAATATTTTGTAACCTTTTTAAACATTGTTTCCCGAATCGAGCTTGTAGAATAGACAAGCGGGAAATGTGGTAAATTCAGTTATGACATGTAAAACTGAGGATTCGAAAGCCATGAACCCTTTTTTCCCATCTTATTTCATTATACACCTTAATACTGCTGGAAATCTTGCTTTTCCATAGTTACAAAATCCGAGTCAAGTATTTTGAAACCGACATTTAAGCTCTCAGATTTCAAGACGTTTTACGAGTGTGGGTTCATTTCGGGATTCTGTGGAATCAGCATCATAACGCCGGCAAACTATAGGACATTGTCACTTATAATCTAACAATTATCGTATTTCTCAAGGTTGGCTTCTATTTCTTAGACTACGTGTTCAGGGCCCCCAAATGCCCTGGTACAGCTGAGAGTGGGGGGATCCAGCTCTAACGAAATGCTCTCACATGGCCACGCGTGTATAGGCACTTCCAGGGAAGTCCTACTCACTGCCTTTTCGCAGTAAGGGTGTTTTCACGAAATTGAGAGGACGAGAAGCAAATACCCGGCGCTCTAACCGGGTTGGTGAACACGGGGGGTTCACTTAAGGGAGTTAGAAAACCCTGATTCCAAACCAATGGTGCACATGGGCTCTAGGATCCTGAAGGAACAAATGGCATATAAACCAATCGTCGGCCACCGGCTATCATGGAACTGCATCTCATCACGTCGCTCCACTGTCTTGTGGGTCAGACCTTTAGGTCGAAGGCTCGGGGTGTGACGCCTTAGGAAACCACTTGCTTCGGTCTAGGCTTCCAGACAGTATCGTAGCCCACACACAAATCAAGTGACTTGTGTGGCGTATATGTATTCGGTATCAATATTTATGTGCTCAAATAAATTCTGTGTTCGAGAACTGACCATGGGAGAGGGGCTTTTCTGAGATCAACGTATTTAGATTTCCGTAGAAAATATTCTGTGTTGTGACATCGTCCTACTATGGCATGACATGCGAGCCCTCAATTATTTGGCACCTAATGTCCGTTTGTATGTGGTTCGCCGCATTCAGGTCTTGAATCAGTTGATAACTGTCTGACTGGTTAAATATTCAAAATAATCTAGATGCTTGTTTATAGACCTAGATGTGTCAAGTCGTTCGGTTATAATTGTCGGATTTACAGCAGTTCTACTTCATAATTACGGAGTTGATCCCTTTCAAGCTGATAATGCTCGATCATTGTTCCCTTCGTGGCAGCAGTCATATACGTTTGTTTAGGCATAAAAAAGCTATGATATGTGCTGTTTGCTGAGGTCATTCGGAGGGCCAATAAATTTCAAGAATGAGCAGCCACATGTTTTTGAACGGAACTTTTCATCAGTTCATATAGTTAAGCTCATGTAAAATCGAACCCAGATTATTAGTAAACAGCACTTACCATGAATATAATAAATCCCATTCATATGGAACTGAAGACGTTTACTGCCAGACTTTCAGAATGCCAAACATCTGCTTAACATCAACTTATGAAACGAAAAGAAAGCTGACTATCGCAAAAAATAAGTATCATTGTTTATTTTAAAAATTTTGATATATGTACAAAAAAACAGTTTATACTGTAATCACAATTGTTAAAGCAGATACAATTAGGGCAGATTTTCAGTTATGTCCATTTGTTCCTGAATTAACGGGTGTTATTGTTGGAAATTCACAAGGTGGAATTATTTTTTCTAATATTCGCATACTCAGTTCACCAGTATCGGGATTAATAAGTTGAAGATTGCCCATATGACTTTGTAAAATACGTTCAATTGTACTATTTGATAATTGAGCCATTTGTAAAATATTTGACATATGTGATTTAGAACGATAATGTTTACATAAATGCCCACTGACACGAAAGCCTACATGACACATATTACATTTATAAGGGCGTGGATCCTTTAAATAGGCATGAGATTTAACTCCATGACTTTGTCGTGCATCAGATTCTGGTTTATTTGAAGTATGTAATGATTTTACATTGTTCTGTTTTATATCCTTACTTAATTTTTCTGATGTAGAAGAATCTTCTGTACAAGTTGTACAACTACTGCTACTAGAAGGAAGCGAACATGATTTATCATTTCGACCATTTTCTTGATAACATGGAGTTGAAGTGGATAATCCTCTAGAGTAATATTGCTCTTCTAAATCTGATGTATTGAAATTTATCACTTGAGCATCGATTGGTTTTACATGATCAGATAAATTTCCTGGAGTAGGTATTCTTTCAGAATTTTCTAATAATACAAATAATAATAGATTATTAGAAGCATAGAACACTAGGAAAATGATCTTTATAACAATTATTACAATTTATAATTTACAAAATGAAAACTTTTTCAATAACTTCATCATCAGGCTCTACAGTTATAAGTCCATAATTATAATATTTTACAAGACTTTTTATAAATTGTTTGTAGGTACATGCATATCAATATAAAATTGAGAATTATTAGACAGAATTAATTTACTTCCATAAATGTTATGTATGTAGTATAAATTTTATACAATTTATTAATAGCATGCTGAACAGGTTTAGAACTGGTTACAATAATAATAATTAATCAAGTTGATTATTACATAATATGTAAGAACAGTGTAGTAAACTTGAAATCAACATCGTTTAACATTAAAAAATGTCAGAGATGTAAAACAGTTCAACGGACAAGTCTCAGGTTCGGTGGTGTAGTGGTTATCATGTCTGCTTTACACGCAGAAGGTCCCCGGTTCGAACCCGGGCCGAGCCAGAATTTGCCCCCAAATGCCCTGGTATGGCCGAGAGCGGGGAGGGTTCGCCCTCCCTCTCGAAATACTCTCACACGGCCACGCGTATACAGCCTCTGCCAGGGAAGTCCTACTCACTGCCTTCTCGTGGCGGGGGTGTTGTTTACGAAAATGAGAGGACGAAAAGCGAACGTCCGGCGCTATAACCGGATCCCAATTCTATGGTGCACATGGGCTCCAGTGTCCTGCGGGAACAAATGGCGTATGAACCAACTTTTGGTCACCGGCTTCCATGGGACTGCATCTCCTCACGATGCTCCACTGCCTTGTGGACTAGACCTTTAGGTCAAAGGCTCGGGGTGTGGCCCCCTAAGAAAACCACCTGCTTCGGTCTGGGCACCCGGGCAGTATCCCAGCCCACTCACTAAAACTATGATGAACTATATGCTTATAGAAAGTATTCATTTCTCTCCGACTAACCTTGAAATGACTGGTATTATTATTATTACTATTATTATTATTTACTACGTCATTTATTCACTATCTCCTATTTCTACTTTTTGTATCCGCTTCGACTCAGACAGCAGCTCGCCTATGATGAAAATTCAGCTTTATCTAAACGTTCTCGAGTCACTGCCTGGTTGAAAATTGTATGTTACTACCGAATATGAGTACTGAAGCAGTTTTTCTGAAACCACGTGCACCATTCAAACTGGCTGCCTTCAACGTTCGCACACTTATGCAGGTCGGACAACAGATAGGGCTGGCTATGTCTTTGGAAAGTCTTAATATTGATGTGTGTTGTCTATCCGAGACCCGTATTCAAGACTCTGGTGAAGTACTACAAGTTCGCTCTCCATCTGTCACTTCAAAAAGCTTGTTTTATGTGCGTTTATCCGGGGACCCTGTGGCATGTTCGTCTGGTCTTGCTGGCGTTGGTGTCGCACTAAGCGCTAGAGCTGAGGCAGCATTAATCGACTGGATCACAGTCGGTTATGTGCTGTTAGATTAGAAAGTTCCATCAAAGTGAGAAGAAATCGGCGTGAGAAACGATGTCTTTTCCTCATCTCCGCCTATGCCCCGACAGATTGCAGCCCGGATGCAATCAAGGATGAGTTCTACCACCAGTTAACTGTTCTTCTCCAGAAAGTGCGTTCGACAGATATTATAGTACTAGCCGGAGACTTGAATGCTTAGGTCGGGCTTCTAGGCACAGAAGAGAGTTGTCTAGGTGGCCGATGGGGACTCGTTGGTCGCAGGACAGATAACGGGGACCGTCTACTGCAACTTTGCACAGACCACAACCTGTTTCTGGCTAGCACTAACTTCCGGCACAGTCATCGCCGATGTGCCACCTGGCGTCCTTCTTCTGCATCTCAAGCCTGGACTCAGATTGATCACATCGCGATCAGCTACCGCTGGCGTGGTTGTGTACAAGACTGCCGCTCCTTTTGGAGTACCTGTCTGGAATCTGATCATGCCCTCGTCTGCTCCAATCTCACCTTACTTTGCAGTGGCCAACGAAGTGACCGCCACCAAAGGATTGATGTTAGCAAGCTGGTTGCAACTTCTGTTGCTACTAAGTATCGAACCGAGCTAGCTTCTAGGCTAGCTACCATTCCACCGAAAAGTATAGATGAGCATTAGTTTCAACTCTATGACGCCATGAAAATGGCGAGTAAAGCCGCTTTCGGCTTTGCGAAACGTCCCGCTTACAAGCACTGGGTTTCTTCTGGTTCCTTACAACTGATTGAAGCCCGTCGGTCTACTCCGGGTGATCGTGAGTTTGACCACAAACGAAGGATGTTACGTACTGAAATTGGGCAAAGCTTGCGTAAGGACCGAGAAGCCTGGTGGTCGGAGCGTGCCAGTGAGTTGGAAGCAGCAGCTGCATCTGGTAATTACCGGAAGCTCTTCCAACTCATCCGAGCCACTGGCAGCAAGAAGTCTAGTGTGAGCGAAACAATCTGCGAGGATGACGGAACGCCAATCACTAACATCCATTGACCTCTTGGACGATGGGCAGAATTCTTCGAAGGGCAGTTCAACTGACCTGCTGCTCGGCAACATCGGTCAGACTGTCCTGCCCTCCATGGCCGGTGACAACTGATCCACCAAATGAGGTGGAAGTTAGCAGGGAATTCCAACACTTGAAACGTTACAAATCACCGGGCCCAGATGACTTACCTTCGGCTCTTTTTAAAGATGGTGGTGACTTTCTGACTAAGGGACTGACGACGTTGTTCACAAAGATCTGGGAACTAGAGAGTGTACCAACGTCATGGAATGAGTCGATAGTGGTCCCTATCTTTAAAAAGGGTTCACGTTGTTCCTGTAACAACTATCGGGGGATAAGTCTACTTTCGATTGCGTCCAAGCTATTGGCTTCCGTCATACTTCGTAGGTTGTTCAGAACCCGAGAAGGATTGACTCGCGAGGAGCAGGCTGGTTTTTCGTTCCGGTCGAGGATGTATTGATCATATCTTCACTCTCCGCCAAATGTTAGAACACCGTCATACTTATCAAAGGACAACAATCGCAGTGTTTCTTGACATCAGGGCTGCTTTCGATTCGTTCGACAGAACTGTTCTCTGGGATTGTCTATTGAAGAAGGGTGTGCCTGAGAAGTTTATTAACATCCTAAAAGCCCTATATACAAACACCTCAGGCAGAGTGAGGGCATACAACTATCTTTCTCCATTGTTCCATTCAAGCAGTGGGGTCAGAGAGGGTTGCCCAATCTCACCATTCCTCTTCAACTTTGCCATCGATGACATTCTGGAAACAGCTCTGACGGATGTAAGTAATGGTGGTGTGGATCTGTTGCCTCGAGAAAGACTTCTCGACCTTGAGTATGCGGATGATATTGTCTTACTGTGCGAGAACGCCCAAGCCATGCAATCCGCACTTAATCAGTTGGCAATCAATGTCCGTAGGTATGGTATGTGCTTTGCACCTTCGAAGTGCAAAGTACTTCTACAAGACTGGCAGGATTCTAATCCTGTACTCACTCTGGGTGGTGAGCAGATAGAAGTAGTCGAGAAGTTCGTGTATCTAGGTAGCTGCATAAGTGCTGGTGGTGGCGTGAGTGATGAGATCGATGCGCGTATAGTGAAAGCCAGAGCGGCTTATGCCAATCTGGGCCATCTTTGGCGCCCTCGTGATGTTAGTCTGGCTGTAAAAGGTTGGATCTACAACGCGACGGTGAGAGCAGTTTTGCTCTATGCTTGTGAAACCTGGCCTCTCCGAGTTGAGGATGTTAGACGACTCTCTGTGTTCGATCATCGCTGTCTCCGAAGGATTGCTGGCATCCAGTGGCAACACCATGTCAGTAATGCAGAGGTTCGGCATCGTGTGTTCGGGCAAAGAGACGACAATCCAATTGGTGTCACCATCTTGAAACACCGACTTCGGTGGCTTGGACATGTTTTACGAATGTCGTCCCAGAGAATTCCACGTCGTGCATTATTTGCCGACTCTGGGACTGGTTGGAAAAAGCGGAGAGGTGGTCAGTATATGACATGGTGTCGTCGTATGAAAGAAAGCTGCAAAGGGCTGGCTTGTGTTGGTCCTTCACGACTCCCTGGCTGGGGTCCGAGAGACGGTGTAACACAGCGGCTAGAAACGTTATCAGATATGGCTCAGAATAGAAGCCAGTGGAGATCGTGCTGTAACCTTCTTTTACTTTCTTCATAAAAAGTGGTTGTATCTTCCTTAACTGAAAGATCTCTTCTGATTGTACCTTTCCGTTTCCCCCACCATTGTTCTCTCTCTTCCTTTTTTTTTATAATTCCCCACGTCCATTACATTTTTTTCTTCTTTTTTTTCTCTTTTCTCCTTCTCTTCAAATTATCATTGTTTTGTGTGGCGCATATATATTTGGTGCCCCCCTGTACCAATATTTATGTGTTCAAATAAAATAAAATAATAATATAACAGGTTCGAACTCAACACTATCCACTTCGATAAGTATGATTAACATGTACTTGTGAAATGAGTTACCAACGATCCGGATAGCAATTAACAACTATAAATTATATAAAATTATTAACAGATATGCTCTCATTTATAATTGATACTATTGTCTGAATTCTACTAGTTTAACGGCGATCTAATATGAACGATAAACTTATTAGCTTCAAAATGTATTCCAGATCAGTTACTTAAATCAGTCCTTTCAGTAGATTTTAAAAAAATTTTCTAATTAATACATTTTCTTGGTAGACATCCTGCACAGTGTTTGAAAATCTGCATAATAGGGTAATGTTTTTAAACTTTGCAACACAGTTTTATTTAGTGTAGCCTGAGTATTCTCAACTGTCAACCGCTGAGTCACATTTATTGAGATTCTGCCCCACCTATTTCGGCTTAGATAATTAAATAGTATACCTAGGCGTCATATAACAAATTAAACTAGCTCATATATGATAGGACGAGGTTAAATCGAGTTACAAAATTACATTTCAGAGCATTTTATGATTTCTCTTAGTCTCAAAGGATACTCGCCAGTGACTGATACAAGCTTACGATGAAAGAGTATATATATATATATATATATATATATATATATATATATATATATATATATATATATATATATATATATATATATATATATATTCTGAATATGTTCATACAAAGGAAAATGTCTCATGAATTCAAGAGGTCAAACATGGAATACTCACTTGAGTCTGGTGTAGAATGACTAAATTTATCTGTTTGTTTTAAATTTGGTTTATCTGTAGCAAGATTGCGAGCTGCTTCAACAGCCGTTTGAACAATTACTTCAGCTGATGACAAACAATTGTTTGAAACGTGTTTATCACATATCATATTTTCTGGATGATTAAGATGATTCGACTGAATTCCATTCATTTTAGTATAAACTGATGGTTCAACAATATATTTTATTAGAGCAATTGGTTCTTGTGGTTTAGCACTTAAATTCATTGGTAAATCCTAAATAGTTAACGAAGAATAAAAGGAATTCGTAAAAAAAGTATTACCCCAGATTCAAACCAAAGTTGGCAAATGAAACAAATAGAGAAAATACTTTTTTATTTGAAAATACACCAACAAGAAGGGATTTAATTGGTTCGTTGAGATTTAGTTACAGACATTTTTATTGGTGAATCTGAATTTTAAGTCACTGAACAATCATATATATATATATATATATATATATATATATATATATATATATATATATATATATAGGTTGGAATGGTTAACAGTAAAACACAAGATATAAGTATATATTATATTTTTCTAGAGAAAGCAATACTTAAGTCGGCTTACAAACGTGAAAAAACGTGTGAGCATAAACTGCAAAAACAGTATTTTCATTGAATAAAGTGGTAAGAACATAATTTATGGACGCCATTTGAACGACGTTAAAGTGATATTGAGACGACCCACCCGCTTAGTAGGGTAGGAAAGTGTTATAAATTAATACGAGTCAAGGTTAGTATGTAGAGTTAAAATTTATGGTTAGGAATTAGATTTAAGGTTTTCATAACGAATTAACATCAGCCATAATGTCAAAATACTATTCAATTATGTAGACAAATGAATTTCGCACCAATGTTCAAGATATGCCATCCTTAATTTCCCTGGTTTGTCCATAAATCGTAGTTCAGTCCATAAAGTTAAGATATTTCTGCATCAGTATAAGAAAAATTAAAATAAATTTTTGTTTTGTATACCTACTCAAGCATAAAAAATGACTTCATCAGCAACGCGTACCTGCAATCTTGATCAGTTCAACTGACATGAAACCTAAGTCCAAGGTTTCATGAGGATTACCTTCAACTACATAAAATTTAGACAAACTATTGCACCTTCAAGGTTACGAAGGACCTTAAACGATAAAATGAGTTAAGATTTCTTCATCTTTGTCCACACCTTGTCGATTATCTCTTTACAAGAACTAACCTAGGGAAAAAATGAAAAATATGCCACAACATTTACTTCCGAGCTGTTGGTATAGACCAGTTCTAGGATTTCAATCAAAATCTTCAGAAAACCCTATATTTTGTCAACATCTTGTGACATGACTATAGTGTTCACGTCCATTATGTGAACAAAATCATTAGCTCATGTCAGTTGTGAATAAGCAAAACATTTTTCTATATATTTAAATTTGTTGCTTTCACAAAACAAATGGCGAACCGAGTCCACTGATGAAAATAATTATTATCAATTTAGTAGACTAGAATAATATAATATTTACCTGAATAGCTTATTGTTTAACTCACTATCTGTACTTATACATCGATATTGTGCATGGTCTTACTTAGAAAATCGTATATTAGACTAACTTTACAAACAACACTCATTGAGAAAAACAAATTATTGCAATTTAGCACCCTGATAAACAATATTCTGTAGCTGTTTTTAGGACATGAGTAGTAAAATGTAAGTTTCAGTGCATATACCAACCGTAAAATTTTAAAAAGAACGATATGTATATTTGAGTTCTGATTGCTAGTTATTACTAAAAATAACACTACCAAACATTAAGCAGTATTATATTCCAAAAAATTACTTAATCTATGTCAAGCATATTACATATTGGATGATTTGATTATTGCAATTTTTAACAAGAAATCATGGTGAAGTTTGAACAAAATGTATAATTTTCATCTGTTGTGTAATAACGAGTTTTATAAAAGTTTGTTTTAATGTAAAATCTGTAGAATAAATAAACACGACGAAAATAATTTATCCTTTTATTAAAATAATGATAAATCACCTGTGATAAATTAACTGCATTAACATTAGGAGCTGGAATACGACTAGATGAATCCACTACATTTGAGCATGTAATATTCGACTGTAAAGCTGAGGCTTTAGACGACATAATTCCTGGTAATGATGATGACGATATTGATGTCGGTGTTGTTGTTGCTGATGTTGATGACAGTGATTTAGAAGTAATTCCATGAAAATTAGTACATAACGAAGATTTGACTTGATTCCTTTTGCTACCAAAAGGGATTGAACGATTGTTGATTGCTCCTAAAGAGTTTCTTGTTTTACACGATGAGGACAATGACGATGATGATGCCGATGAAATATTTGATGATTTACGATAACTCTGATGGTCTTCAAATATACTGTTATCATTATTAATCGTTGGGTCATGAGGCACTTCTCTAGAGTGATGATCAAAATCTTGATTAACTACTGGAGTAACAGAACTATTACTCGTTAAAGGAACTTGGGTGAATCCTGAGTCTCGTAAAAACCTGAGGAAAACAGTTAAAAAATAAAAACACTAAACATGATGATGAGCATTGAATTAATTTGCTGCTTCAAAGATCGACTAATAGTATAATTACACTATCAAAAATCACGTATCATGTTGAGAGACAAAAAAACAATATCAGTAGTTGTTGTGAATTAGTCTGAAAACTACGTTATTTCTAAGCTGAATTATCGTTACTGAGTCCAACCTGCAGGCAGCTAAACAACTTTCCGATATTAAGAATGACTAGTGGGTATTAATCGATTTCACGTACCCATATTAAGCGTTCCTCTGGTTGTTAGAAAGATCATCGGCCTCGTGACTTCTGAAGAATCTCGGCTTTCACCATGCCGTCGTTTTTACAAAACAAATCAGAATAGGATGATTTCAGAAGCTTCAAGATCACATATAAACCTGTAAATCGCCTAGTTTTCTGCACATAATAACCTTAGAAAGAAAACTTTCGAACTTTCCGCCATCAGTTTTCTACTCGATGTTTTGAGAATCATTTTGTATTTCTTGCTTGATAACGTCTATTCTAAACCAAGTATTGAATTATCTTTGAGGTCTGTTGTTATTAACAAACACCAACATTCACCAATTCCGTCATTTCGACACAGTAAGATACACCATGGACAGACTAAGTCGTTTTATAATTGTGTTCAAAAATAAACAATTCACCAACTTGTTCATTATTTACCAATCGCCCTAGCTCTTATCGAACTTCTAATGAAAAGATAAATAAATGTGAACTAGATACGTGAGAACAACTAATAACATTATCGATCATATAGAACAACCACACATAGATATATAAATAAACACACAAATAGACCTGTACTAGAAAGGTCATTAAAACTGTTGTTCATGAGTAGGCATAATGTAAGATAAAGAAATATACGATTTAATGATTGATTAGCTGAATGAATTTTAATTTCTAGGCAAAAATGACAAGATAAAGCATTAATAATGAGTTCATGTTTTTGAGATATTTTCAAGATTGACCTAATAAAAAAACTGCGATTTTTCTTTGTTTTAAAGTATAGAGAAACGGCGATTATTCCTGTATTGGTAATTGTTTATGTTGGGAAATACGACATAGATTGAGTGGTAGAACTAAGACATGATATTAGTCCATTTAGTCGGTTAAATCAAACCACATTACAAGATGAAAACTTCTTGAGTTGGATCTGGATGGTAATGACAACCTATTGCTGGAGACCTTGTCATACCAGTGCATGAAGCCATTGACTCCTGGACTGAGAAATCTAGATAGATACATATTACCTAATTGAGATCCTCAGGATTATCGTGACAAATGGTTGGAAACACTAGGTGAAAACCAACAGGATTGGTCATAATAACACAGGTGCACTCACTCCCTAAGATCTCGAGCTTTCAAAAATAATCGTATACTTTTTACTCCATGAATTCATTCCATCTTCTTGAATCATATTATCTATGCCGAAACCTTCCTACCACCACAGATTCTGTAGTCACATTTGCTACTCAGATGTATATCTCGATAATTTCATCTCTCTGTACTAATAAAGTGTGACAGTTTGGATCGATGCACATATGTGCCAGGTTCTACGTTGCTTTATGAATTAATTGTTATAAACCTTATTTGACATAATACAAAGTTGGTTATAGCAGTACATACGTATTCACTTTTTGTCTTCCTCAGAATCTTAGGTTGTAATATCGTTTCATAATCTTGGTTCTCCAATTTCATTCATTCTAAGTTGAATTAATTCTAGAAACTTAGCTATCGTTTTGACTCGTTTAGGTTCTATCCTGACAAATCCCTCCTAGTACGCTATTATGAAGTGTAGTAGTTTACCTGATACACGTGTTTTCTAAATTCTACTTTGTCTATGACTGACTAAAGCACTTCGATTTGAGAGGTCCCAGACCTCGAATACTAGACTATATTACTAACTACAGTCAAATAATTACTACTTACAATTGCCTAAAGACATTTAAAAATCATTCTTAATAAAAGGTCTACCGTGAAGCGTATTACTGAAATCTATAAAAAGGAACTGTATAATAACTAGAACTAAAAAATTGTGTAGTTAAAAATGTGACCTTAGCCTAAAAAATGGAGAATGACTGAAGTTGAAACTAAGCTTGAATTACAAATAATTTCAAATCCTAACAAGCCCCGAAATGCCCTGATACAGCCGAAAGTGAGGAGAGTCGGCTCTACCTCCCGAAACGCTCTCACTTGGCCACGAGTATACAGCCTCTGTCAGGGAAGTGCTACTCACGGCCTACTAGTAGTAGGGGTGTTTTCACAAAATTGAGAGGACGAAAAGCGAGTGTCCGGCACTTCAACCGGGTTAGTGGGTATGCAGGATCCATCTAGGAAAGTTGGAAAACCTTCATTCCAAACCAATGATGCAAATAGGGGCTTCAGGATCCTGAGGGAACAAAAGAAGTACGAACCTGTTGTTAGTCACCAGCTACCATGGGACTGAATCTCCTAACGTTGCTCCACTGGATTGTGGATTAGACCTGTAGGTCAAAGGCTTAGGGAGTAGCCCCTTAAGAAAACCACCCGCTTCCGTTTGGGCACTCACACAGTATCATAGCCCTCACACAAATTAATGATAACTGCTATTGACCTCATTGTTATCGTGTGGCGCATATGTGTATGGTGCTTCCTTGTACCAATGTTTGTGTTCAAACGAATAAAAATAAACGTTCAAACTACGAAAATTTAAAAATATCCCCAAACCCCCTGGCAACAGAAATCACGTGGTCATTAGGGATTAACTTCGAAAGTTGATTCCGGGAGCTCTAGTGAGAAGTCATGACCAGTGGAGTTCAAACTTGTCTAACATGAAGCAGTTACCCACCGAAGGCATTGGAAGATAGTTAGACATTATTGCACATTAATCTAAGTTGTCGGATGTTGGCTCAGTGATCTAAATGTTAAATGTTCGCTGCAAGACCTGAATGTTCTCGGTCCGAGCCCTAGCACGTTCGCAGGTACGCATTGCTGAGTTTCACACTAGAATGAAATAGCTGTTAGCCCTTCCCCGTTTTCAATAGTTGTTAAACTAGGATTAGTTTGTGATGTAAACTAAGAGAATCCAAATGTGTTTGATAAAATTTAGATGGTATCGTAATTTCGTCATACGATTAGCTTACTTACTTACTTACTTACGCCTGCTACTCCCAATGGAGCATAGGCCACCGACCAGAACTCTCCAACCCACTCTGTCCTGGGCCTTCTTTTCTAGTTCCGCCTGGAGTCCCTTTCGGGGGGCTACTGCCGGTCCCAAGCCCGAATAAAGGAGGAGGGTTGGGCATGGGGTTAGCGACCCCATCCCGTAGAAAACTAACTCGCTAAAAAAACGCTAACCAGAAAAAATTATCCAAACCATTTAAACGATTAGCTTAGCTCAAAGTTAATTTTTCCGTTAGTTCTTGTCTATAAGCCCCCAGCAAAAAAGAAACGAGATTCAAATCTAACAGACAGCAAACAAATTTCGAGAATTTAACAAACAACAAGTCATTTACCTATCATGATGACAACGAGATTTCATATGTTTGCTTAGATTACCGCGTGTTTTGAAAGAAATATCACAATTATGACAAACAAACGGTCGAATATTAGAATGTGCATGCCAATGTTTCTTTAAATGATGATAGGATTTGGTAGTATGCAATGAATTATCTTGACAACGATATCTTCCACGTATAGAAGTGTTAGACCGTTGTGAATTAAGTGAATTCGATAAATATTTTTTATGATTGTTGAGCTTTGTAAAATTTATTCGTCTTTTATGATGAATTGGTCGGTATTGACATTTGATCCTGTCGGGTTGATTGGCTGGTAAAATTGTAACAAGCTTGTTGTGTTGAACTTGTTGTTGAGATTGTTTGCTATCAACTGAAATTTCAACACCGACACTTTTGTTCGGTGAAATAAAATTACCAGATATGGATGAAGTGAAAGTAGAAGAAGAAGAAGAAGAAGAAGAGGAAGAATGACTGTAATTAATAGCAGGAATAATAATATTGTTGGCAGATGTACTGGTGACAAGACATGTAGTTACAGTAGGATTTAATTTTGTTAAATTATTTGTTAAATCATGACTGGAAACTAGTATTGGTAACATTTTTTGATCCGAAGCGTTTTGTCCCGCTCCAGTATGAAATTGATGGTCTTGTAATGATTTATTTTGTACAGTTGATAATGCATTGTTCGATTTGATTCTAGAAACTTCGGGTACAGGTCTTATTGGGACTGAAAATATATAATTATTAGAAGAAAGGTGTAACTAAAATGAATTAAAACAATCTTTAGCAGAAAACTTAAATACAAAAACAAAAGTCAGATAGAACATACACGCACACATACAAAACTCATGAAGAAGTTTTTCAATAAAGAAGGATTATAATAAGTTCCAGTTAATCAAGTTCTTTTCTTATATTTTTAAAAGAAATAAAATTAACTACATTAAATTGGCAAGTTATGAAATTTAAGCAGAATGTTATGAATTTCATTTACTAAAAGAATGAAACATTTTTATACAAGTTATCTGTCTTATTGACTTAATCGCTAAGGAATCACATGTACACTGGTTTTATTATTTATTCTAAAATGAACATATTAAATAAACTATTGTTAAATAGAATTTTCAAAATGATCTCAACTCTGTATAGAATTATATATTTTACAACTCATATGATCTATGACATACAACAGAAATAATCGGCGATAAATTACAGGTTTTTTTTGTTGTTGTTGTTGTTGAAAATTCACATCATTTCTAAAGTATAATATTGAAAAGTTTATTCTCAGTTGTAAGAGATTGAATATTATCAAATCAATTATCATCAGTAATTTCACTTTGAAGGGATTTGAATACCAGTTATTTTTTATTGAATTTACTGGTCAGAAAATGTCACAAAACACGATCGATAGGACTAAGTACACAATAATATTTATTAACTTTAGAGTGATAGACTAGCATTATATTTGTTTAATTCATTCAATGATAGACAAATCTATTTTCTTCAAATTGTCTTACTGTTGTGTTTCATAACTATTTTTAACCAATAATAAGGGATCGACAAAGTCTCATGCTGAATGTTTTCCTTAGTCAGTTAACTGTGTAACGTGTCGGCAGTCAGTCAGTAACAACGTAGAACTTCTTATGTATGTACATCAGTACGAGTTGCCATACCACATTAGCACAGAGATGCAGTTGTCGATTCAAATCCTATAATGGTAGAAGTAGTAGGAGTATAAGCAGTAATCCGAAAGATTAGGGTTTGAAGGTGTTATTTAAGGAGTATCATACAGTGAAATAAATTTGGAAAGAAAATAAGGGACATGAAGAATTCAGAATTCAGCAAGTCAAATTTCTACTCATTGGCATATTATAAATATAGTTTTTTAATGCTTAAACGTATTTCAACAAACCTATATATGAATATAAAAATGCAAACCAAATAGAGTAATTATTCGGGTTGGCGATTTTCTAAGCAAGGCTGTTTTCTACGAGATGGGGTTGCCGACCCCAAGCCAAACACTCCTCCTTTACCCGGGCTTGAGATCGGCAGTAACTTTAGAAGAGCTACAGACGGAGTACAAGTATTTATAAACAATTGTCTATATAAGACACTTAATGTCCGTTGGCCGGATATCATCAGCAATAGCCTATTGTGGGACAGAACAAACCAACTTCCAGATGAGGAGGAAATTAGGATATACAATGTAGAAATCATCAAACCGCATCACGAGACAAGCGCTTACTTGTAATCCTGAAAGGAAACGGAAGAGAGGAAGGCCAAAGAACACTGCGCCGAGAATCGGAAGTAGACATGAAAAGGATGAATAGCAACTGGAAAGGACTACCCAGGACAAATTTCAATGCAGAATGCTAGTGATCGGCCTATTCTCCTCCACGAGAGGGAACAGGCGTAAGTAAGTAAAGTAATTATGTAAAGTTCATAAAGAACTTGTACTAAAAACGGAAACCTAGAGTAGTATGAAAACTAATGCTCAGACAGCGATAAAATTAGAATAATACTAAGAGTTAGAAGCTACAAATGAATACCGCTAGAATATATATATATATATATATATATATATATATATATATATATATATATATATATATATATATATATATATATGACGTGTATAATTCATGTAATAACAATAGATACATTCTTGGAACCATTGAAGCGATACACATAATGACAATTCTTCAAAGTTTCCAACTGAACTTGTATTGCATCTTGTGAACAATCAATTACAAAGTTTAACCCTATATGATGGTTTGCGTATACAAACTATAGTTTAAGTATGTACATTTAAAAAAATGGTTAGGAAGGAAAAAATTGGCTGAACACTATAGCAGAGTACATGTGTTCGCTGTCTGATTCTTATTTACGTCAACTAAGAGATTTTTTTCTCGAAAATTAAAATATCATCTCCTGGTTACCATAACAGAGAATTTTTCTTCCTACTGAATACACACTTCAAACAAACTGGCAATAATAATTTTTTAAATTTATATAAGAAGCGTAATGTTAAATAATGTGACGCAATATGACAATTATTGTCACCATTGTGGTATGCAGAAGAGTAGACTGACTTATGTATGTTCTACACTGGAATTTATCTTTATCTCTAATTGAATCGCGGTGAAAATCGGAAACCAATTGAAATATAGGAACAATTGAATTTCAAAATACTAGAAGCGAACATTATATTGCCTGTGTCCTATATGCAGAAAAATGACCCCTTTTTAGGAAATAAAATTAGTATCAGAAGGGGTTTTGTGAAGATTGTAGTAATTTCAATTGACTCATGATCTCAACTATTGAAAATAAAATTAGTTCAGATTTAATACAACTAGGTAATCAAGCAGAAATGAATGAACTGACTGTTTAGTTATATATCTTAATTCTGTGAGGACTAATGGTCACCAACCGGTTGATTTTGCCGCTGCTGACCAAAGTATCAGAAGCAGAATTCGTATCTTTAACCTATTAGTTGAAAGTTAAATGTTAAGTATTTAGTTATTTTTCATTTTATTTTAACACATAGATATTGGTACAAGCAGGCACCAAATATATATGCGCCACACGAATTTCAATTGATTTGTGTGAGGGCTGTGATACTGCACGGGTGCCCAAACCGAAACAGGTGGTTTTCTTAGGGGACCACACCCCGAGCCTTCGACTTGGACGTCTGACCCACAAGGCAGTGGAGCATCGTAAGGAGATGCAGTCCCATGGTAGCCGGTGACCAACGATTGGTTCATACGCCATTTGGTCCCGCAGGATACTGGAGCCCATGTGCACCATTGGTTTGGGATCCGGTTAAAGCGCCAGACATTCGCTTTTCGTCCTCTCATTTTCGTAAACAACACCTGTGTGAGTAGGACTTCCCTGGTAGAGGCTATATACGCGTGGCCATGTTAGAGCATTTCGAGAGGGAGAGCGGACTCTCTCCGCTCTCGACCGTACCAGGGCATTTGGGGGCCGATTTAAGGAGGAAATTCCAGTAGCTCTAGTGATAAGTTGTGGCCGATGTAGTTCATCCATTCGAATTACATTGGAAAACGGTTACCCACTATGATATATTGATTTAGGTCAGAAATGTAAACCATCGGACAGCAACTCAATGGTTGATGGTCGCTGCTTTGGTTCAATCTCTGGTGGGATGTGGATATGCACTGCTAAGGAGTCACATATTAAAACGAAACACCTCTCCAGTGCTTCCCGGTCTTCAACAGTTTAGCTTAAATTAGTTCGTGACGTAAATTACGAAAGTCAACAGTTCCCAAAAATCCCTTACACTTAAAATGAACCTATTCGATTAGGCTAACGAATTTTCAGGTCAATTGAAGCTAAATACAAGCTGGTTAACAATAACAGTAAAGATAAACAATAGACTAACAAATAATGTTTCGAAATTTAGCTTTCCGTTGGTAAACAGACGTAACAAAATAACAAAACACACAGAAGTTGGGTTTCAATCCGAGCTCTAAAAATTTTACTACATTTCTAATGTTAAACGAAATCGTGGCATACGCATTATTTCGGAATGAGTAAATGGTTGGCCAATTTCGAATAAAAATTGTAACACTATTGATCGGATCTAGACACTCCAACAGATCATTTCTTATTTCAGAAAACTTATATATCAGGTAGAAAGAAGTCATAGAATTCTTACAATAATACATGTTTGAAAAAAGTATTGTAGTAAACACGTGTGCAAGTAAAATATAATCTATATTTTAATGATGCAAACGTTATCTACAACAGAGCAAATATATGCAACTGAGAACGAAATAGATCAGAACCTAAATATTTAACTGTTGGGTTACGTGCTTATACCTTACTTTATTTATTATTATAGCTAGGTTAGCCAACTAGTAGTATCACTAAGATTTAGAAAACAGAAGAACAAACGAACCTGTAAGTAGCTTGTGAATTTCAGAGTAAAACTAGACTAGGAATGTAAATAGAGTATAGCAATATGTATAAATGTTATAGCAAAAGAAACACTGAATTCATATTTTCTTACTTAAATCATTCATATTTAGAAATTTTTACTGTGTTAGAAAATCTAGTTGAGACGCTCATAGTTTCTAGCATGACGTAGACTAATAACTAGCTATCATGATGACTGTCATTTTAAGATAATTGATTTCGTGAATGTTGGGAACAAAAAACAAAAGAAATACCCTAAGAAATATATCTCTAATAATATAAGTAAAAGATGAATAAATCAGATATTCGTAAAAGACATTAGTGACTGTTTTCATAGGTCATATGATATTTTTCAGGTCTGATACGACTCAACAAGTTCAAATAAAGTTTCCAATAAAGTGATTCAGTTCATTGATATTATTTAAGGATATGAACAAAGATCAAATCTTTTGAACGTTGAGAGCAAATATTACCTTCCGGTCAAAATGAAATAAATGTAAATGGCTGTGTAATAATAGATTTATGAGTAGTTGTTGAATGCTAAGGTTTCAAATCAAGAATTCACGATTCTTTAATTTTTTATTACAAAAGAATTTTGGTAACTAGTTATGTACTTAAATATTATTATTTTCGTAAAATTCCATGGAATGTCAAGATCAAAACTAAACTCAGCTTTCAAACTGCTGGTAAAATTTGTACCTTAATCTTAAACTTTTGCCAGGATCAAACTAAATTCTGTAGAAATTCTTTTCATTTAAAGTCACGTGTGTATGTGTGTTTACTACGAAATTAAGAGAAAATTCCAAACTTTAAGTAAGATGGCCTCATGAGTTTGCTTCAAGGTTACGCCAATCACAAAAGTACAATTGACAGATATGACAATAATATTATATGATTAATATACGTAAGGCAAAATATTTTCTACACCAGTCAAGATAACTTATCCTTTACGTGGGACGTAAGTATCAGTGAGAGACATGTGTGCATACCGTCAATACGGTTGCATGAAATATTTGTCCATATATATATATATATATATATATATATATATATATATATATATATATATTCAGTAACTGGTGACTTTGGGTGATATAGCTCAGAATATGTCACAATGGCGCAGATGCATCCACTGTTTATCTACTTTTCAATCTTGACTCCCTTTACATACACCTTCCCATTTTGTATTTCCGAAACCCTATTCTCCGTGATTATTCTTTCTCATTGTCATTGAAGCATTATTCCGTTATCTTTTATCATACATTTTGTTCGTTTTATCTCATTGTGTTAATATGATGAAATGGTGAAGATTTGTAGCTCAGGTGGATGGCTTCGATGGAGTTTTATTCTCTGAGATGGATGGTTTGGTCGTAGAGCTTTCATCGTTATTCTGAACAACATCATCAACACAAACTTCAGGTAGAAGTGAAGTATTCGAATTTCTCCACATATGGTTCACAGTTTGTCCTGTAGACAGAAGTAAACAATGACGGGTTAAAGGTCAACAATAACCCATCAACATCGAGGTGTACTTCACTTCTACCTGACGTTTGTGTTGATGATGTCGTTCAGAATAACGATGAAAGCTCCACGACCAAACCATCCATCTCAGAGAACGAAACTCCATAAAAATGATATGAGAACTTGGCCCAACGCATGTCTATACTAAGCTCTACGTCGATGACTGACAGAATGAGTGAGGGAGGGGACTTTAAATGGAACGATAAGACCAATAAATGTTAGCAAGTTCCTTTAAAAAAAAGAATATACTTACTTGGTTTAGTCGTGCTAAACCCACCACTGCTCCATACACATTTGGCATTATCATATTTTTTAGAACAACTTGGACTATTTGGAGTTGAAATCACTGTTGGTGGTAGTAATAATTTATCTTTTACTGAATTTACTGACGTATCCTAATGAATAAATAAAAAAAGGTGGATAATGATTAACATTTCGAAAATTATGACAATAAGGTTTCCGAATAATATGTTGCTATATATGTAGACTATGTCAAGCTAATCGATCAACTATTCAACTCCTGAAAAACACGTTAGCGGGATTTTTGAAACTATGAAAAATCAAAGAGCATTGGATAGTTGTTTCGCCCGAATTTTAAACCATCCAGTTGTGATTACCTACCCACTCACTCTGATTAATTATGTTCAAAACGATCAGATTTCACGTTCATGCTCTTCTGTTTATGAGTTTGTTGTATACGCCCCCCCTGTGCTTAAATATTAAATTTAATCAGAAATAGAAATAAACTTACTGATTGGTGTGATAATATTAAATTAGAGTCGGATCCATTAGTCTCCTTCACATCATCATATGTATTATTATTAACTGGCTTTAATTGATGATCGTCTGATAATTGGGAAACTGTAGTGTTTATATCAGCACCAAATACAGTAGTTGATGTAGGAGGTTGAAGAATGATTGTTTTAACTGGTGGATGATTTGTTGAAAATTCAGGTTGAGCTGTAGGTATAGGTGTTACAAGTGAACTTGTCATAAATGTAGATGATCGTGTTTCAGTCAAATTGGTACTTTGAATAGGATTTATTGTAGATGGATATGGTTCTGGTGCAGTTATCATTGGTATATAAGAACCAATAAATCGAGGCAAAACCATTAACTGAGGTAATATGAAAAAACTTGGAGATGGTTGAGATCCATTTAGTGTCGATGGTGTAGGTGTAATAGGTCTAGGTGAAGGAAAAACCATTGTAAATCCATTCATTGGATTGGATGGATGTGAAATAGGATCTATGTTAGATACATAAGAAGTTAATGGTGTATTTTGTGATGAAATAAAATTCGGATTACCATAAACAACATTAGTAAATTGTATAGGAGTAGGAAGTAATCCGATCCCTGAAGTAGAAGGGAAACTAGGTAGTTGCGTATCAATTTGTTCTGTTGAAATAGACGAGCAACTTGATGATATATTGATAACTTGTTTGGTAGATTGTGAGACAGTTAGTTGTTCACAGTTGATCGAAGATGAAGGAGATGAAGTCTTCGTTTGATTAATATTGTCCTGAAGTTCTGTGAATAAGCGGAAAACAAGTTCTATTGTGTATGTGCACATAAAGAGTACAGAAAAGTATGACTTAATTTTCATTAGGAACTGATCATATAGATTCGTAAAATAATTGTTCATCACTAAATTTTGTATACGTGTGATGTAGAAGTCATTGTAGTTGAAAACTTAATGTAATCTAGCTAAAAGCTTGTCTGTAACACATACACGCTCCATCTTAATATGAATTAGAATCGTCAATGACCTGTCGTCTCATAATTATTTATTCTCTATTGGTATAGGGGGTTTGTGGAGACAGTTAACTTTTATAATTCGCACTATAAACCCATCTTCATCAAAAATCAGGAAGCACTGGGTAGTTGTTCTATTCTAGTGTGGAACTCTTCAACAGTATCCACTCACCAGAGAGTGGACAAACTAACTTTAGATCACGTAGCAAGGGGTTAACCTTTAGACCATTGAGCTAGAACTCAATGGTTTGCACGTCTGAATTCACTCACAGTTCTGACTTCCAGCTTGTTGATTTGTAGTATTTGTAATATTAAAAATAGTAAAAGAAAAAACCTATGTCAATTTAATATCTTCGTTAATTGATCAAGAAAGTAAAACGTTGAAAGTATGAAGTTCAAAATATTCATGAGATGGAAATGGAAAATTAACCGATTATTTCACATGTACATTGAATATTAATTGAATATATTTTATCTAATCAATTTTAAAGGTAGTTTGCACTATGAATTGATCTCAGTTGTAATAATTCATTGACAATGATTTCATTCTGGTTTGAAACCGTCACACAACTGCACACTCATTAACACCGTAACAGATTAAGGATAATACTGTTATTTATCTACTCGATAAGCACCCACTGGCTAAACTTTCTTTAATTTTAATCAATTCGCAATACAGTGAAACAATAAACAAATGTCATCAATCAATACTCGCCCAGCTTTTCATTTATTGAGAGTAAATGGTATCTTATTTATAAGAACACTCGAAAAGCATGTATTTGATCTTCAGTGTGATAATGAGGAATGTCTATTGCAGAGGAACTGAAAGTTAGAAAGAAGCAAATGCCCCGTGTTCTATGACTTTTAATGGCTTTTCAAGTGATGTCAAACAAATATCGGCAGGCACCAAACATGAGGTTATCAACTAAATTACTTACTTACGCCTGTTACTCCCAATGGAGCATAGGCCGCCGACCAGCATTCTCCAACCCACTCTGTCCTGGGCCTTCTTTTCTAGTTCCATCCAATTCTTGTTCATTTTTCTCATATCTATCTCCATTTCTCGGCGTAATGTATTCTTTGGTCTTCCTCTCTTCCTTCGACCTTGAGGATTCCATATGAGGGCTTGTCTTGTGACGCAGTTCGGTGCTTTCCTCAATGTGTGTCCTATCCACTTCCAGCGCTTCTTCCTGATTTCTTCCTCCACTGGGATCTGATTTGTTCTCTCCCACAGTAGGTTGTTGCTTATAGTGTCCGGCCAGCGGATCTGAAGTATTTTGCGTAGACAACTGTTAATAAACACCTGTATCTTTTGGACGATGGATTTCGTAGTTTTCCAGGTTTCCGCCCCATACAGTAGAACTGTCTTCACATTTGTATTGAAAATTCTGACTTTGGTGTTGGTTGCTAATTGTTTTGAGTTCCAGATATTCTTCAGTTGTAGATATGCTGCTCTTGCTTTGCCAATCCGTGCCTTCACATCTGCATCAGATCCACCGTGTTCATCGATGATACTGCCCAAATATGTAAAGGTTTTTACATCTTCCAAAGCTTCTCCGTCAATTGTGATTGGATTGGTACATGCTGTGTTGTATCGAAGAATCTTGCTTTTCCCTTTGTGTATATTGAGACCTATTGCTGCTGAGGCTGCAGCTACACTGGTTGTCTTCTCCTGCATTTGTTGTTGCGTATGCGATAGAAGAGCAAGATCATCTGCGAAGTCTAGATCATCCAATTGCATCCTAGTTATCCACTGTATCCCGTGCTTCCCTTCAGATGTTGACATCTTCATGATCCAGTCGATCACCAGGAGAAAGAGAAAGGGTGAGAGTAAGCAACCTTGCCTGACACCGGTCTTTACTTCGAACGACTTTGTCAACTGTCCTCCATGCACGATTTTGCAGTTTAATCCATCATAGGAATTCTGTATGATATTGACTATCTTCTGAGGCACGCCGTAGTGTCGAAGAAGCTTCCATAGGGTTGTTCTGTCCACGCTATCAAATGCTTTTTCGTAGTCAATGAAGTTGATATAGAGTGATCGATTCCATTTAATTGATTGTTCCACAATGATCCGTAGAGTTGCGATTTGGTCTGTGCACGATCTATCCTTACGGAATCCTGCCTGTTGGTCTCGAAGTTGGGCGTCTACGGAGTCCTTCATCCTGTTTAACAATACCCTGTTGAAGACTTTTCCTGGTATTGAAAGAAGAGTGATTCCCCTGTAGTTGTCACAGTTGCTGAGATCGCCTTTCTTTGGTATTTTGACCAGAAGTCCTTCTTTCCAGTCTTTTGGTACCTGTTCCTCATCCCAGATCTTTCTGAAGAGAGTTTGGAGTATCCTTGCAGTTGCCGCTACGTCTGCTTTCAGTGCCTCTGCTGGAATGCTGTCTAGTCCTGCTGCTTTGCCACTCTTGATTTGTCTGATAGCCATGCTGATTTCTTCAATTGTCGGTGCGCCAACATCAATTGGGAGGTCCGTGAATGCTGCTTCGATGTTGGGTGGGTTCAGTGGGCCTGGTCGATTCAAGAGTTCTTTGAAGTGTTCTACCCACCTGTTTCGTTGTTCTTCAATGTTGGTGATTATCTTGCCTTCCTTGCTTTTCACTGGTCGTTCTGGTTTACGGTGATTTCCGGAGAGTTTCTTTGTTGTGTCATACAGTTGTCTCATGTTTCCTTCTCTCGCAGCCTTTTCCGCCGTCAATGCCAAACCCTCCACATATTTACGTTTGTCAGTTCTGATGCTCCTTTTCACTTGCTTGTTTTCTTCTGTGTATTCAGTCTGTGCCTTGACTTTTTCTGCTCTTGTTCGACTGGTATTGATTGCTGCTTTCTTGTTCCTCCTTTCTTGAATCTTATCCAGTGTATCGACTGTGATCCAATCCTTGTGATGGTGCTTCTTTTGGCCCAGAACCTCATGACATGTTGAAGTGATTGCTTCTTTTATTTCTTTCCAGTTGGTCTCCATAGTAGTTCCTTCTCCATTGAGTAGATCATGAAAGGCTTGGAACTTATTGCTGAGGGTTATCTTGAATTTATTGAGTTTGTCATTATCCCGAAGAAGAGCCGTATTAAATTTTTGTGATATTGTCCTCCCCGTTGTCCAGTGCCTCTTGAGTTTCAATTTCATCTTGGCAACCAGCAAGTGATGATCTGATGCTATATCAGCTCCTCTCTTTGTTCTCACGTCCTCCATCGTCCTCCTGAACTTTTTGTTGATGCAGATATGGTCCATTTGGTTCTGTGTGGTGTGATCCAGTGAAGTCCATGTGGTTTTGTGTATGCGTTTATGTGGGAATATAGTGCCACCTATGACCAGTTTATTGAAGGCGCATAGATTTGCAAATCTCTCACCATTTTCGTTCCTTTCTCCCAGTCCGTATAGTCCCATGATCTCTTCATATCCGGTGTTGTCAATTCCAACCTTGGCATTTAGGTCTCCCATCAGAATAGTCAGGTCTTTTGTTGGGCACTTCTCGACGATTGACTGCAGCCTATCGTAGAAATGATCTTTAGCATCTTCATGCCCACAAATGCCCTGGTACGGCCGAGAGTGGGGAGAGTCCGCTCTCCCTCTCGAAATGCTCTCACATGGCCATGCGTATATAGCCTCTGTCAGGGAAGTCCTACTCACTGCCTTCTCGTGGCGGGGGTGTTGTTTACGAAAATGAGAGGACGAAAAGCGAATTTCCGGCGCTTTAACCGGATCCCAAACCAATGGTGCACATGGGCTCCAGTATCCTGCGGGAACAAATGGCGTATGAACCAATCGTTGGTCACCGGCTACCATGGGACTGCATCTCCTTACGATGCTCCACTGGCGCATATGTATTTGGTGCCTCCCTGTACCTATACTTATGTGTTAAAATAAATAAATAAATAATTAGCATCTTCATTGTATTCGTTGGTAGGCGCATAGCATTGGATGACGTTCATTGTAATGCCCGTTTTCTTTGTTTTGAAGGAGGCTTTGATGATCCTTGGTCCATGAGATTCCCATCCTATAAGTGCATTTTGTGCTTGTTTGGACAGCATCAATGCAACTCCTTGTGTATGTGGAGCATTTCCTTGTTCATGTCCGGTGTATAACAGCAGCTCACCTGAAGCTAGTCGTTGTTGTCCAACTTGCGTCCAATGTGTTTCACTGATCCCAAGCACCCCTAAATTGTATCTCCTCGTTTCTGCAGCAATTTGGAAAACTCTCCCAGTCTCCCACATTGTGCAAGCATTCCATGTACCTGAGTAAATGGTTGCTCTGGTTGTCAGAAGGGGCATCGGCCTCGTGACTTCCGAAGAAACTCGGCTTTCATCATGAGGCGTCATAATTCTTCTAAACGAAGACCTCCTGACTCCCAGGGCAGAGTTTAAATGGTTTGAATAATTTTTTCTGGTTAGCGTTTTTTTAGCGAGTTAGTTTTCTACGGGATGGGGTCGCTAACCCCATGCCCAACCCTCCTCCTTTATCCGGGCTTGGGACCGGCAGTAGCCCGCGGAAAGGGACTCCAGGCGGAGTTATCAACTAAATTAATAATCCTTTATTTAATGTAAAATTTTGTATATGTACACATGGCATTCGATTGATGATTATTGATTAGAAGAACTAAGCAGTAGCTAAATAACTCTAAAACTCGAATTTACGATTTTTTCCAAAAGTCATTTGATCTGAATTCAATGTTTACACGCATAAAAAGTCTAAGATACCTAACAAAATATCAACCATTGGTGCACTTCTACAGCGGTTCGGAGTGTAAACCGAGAATTCTGATATCATCGATAAAAGTGACGGTAATATGAAATGCAGAAAAACAGAAATTGCACGATTTATGTTACTGAGATTCTTCAGTAGTATACAAACATAAATACGTATGGTTTCTTCTAAAACCAATTAAAATATCAATCTTACACCTAGAACGAACAAAATTCTCTATAATACAAGTGAGCTATTTGGATTTAATACGATCTCAAATTTCATTGGGAATTATTCAAGCTTTCTTATACTTTTTATTTACACTGTATTGTTTTGTTATCAAATATTCTTTAAAAAATGTTACTAAAGGCTATATCGACGAAACCCATTCGGTGTGCACATACGGGAATAGAGACTGATCAGTTACAGTCCTGAATATCAACGAAAAAGTTGCAAACATTTACCAATGCGTTTATACGCATTGATTATTAATTTAATTCATAAAAGAACAGATACAATTGGGTGGAAAAACAGTATTCTCTGCACAAAAATTGAGTGACCTGGGATATTTTCTGAGTAAAAGAACCGAAATAGTTGGTTTTCTTAGGAAGCCACTTCTTGAGATTCAAGTCTAGAGGCATATTTCACAATATAGTAGTAGAGCAACCTCAGTAGCTTCAGTTCTATAGTAGCGAGTGACTAAACTGTCAAGTCCTCTACTTGATTAACGCAGAATACAGTATACAAATACGGCACTCGAACATATATAACCCCCACAGTCGCAAGTCAAAGAACAGAAGACTGGAGAAGTGCGTGTTGAGTAAGAATCAAAATGTACAGAAAATCATGAATATTTATAGATATTAGCGTTTTTTAAATCAACATGTTATGCTACCGTCCAATAGAAGCATGCCACGTTGATATTCTAGAGTGCTCCATCATGTTTTGATTGGATGGAAACTCCTCGGTTCCTTTAGGGCCTCTGGAATTCTCGGAAGCCGTCTCAACACAAACACGTGTTCGTAAGTCATTCATTCCCTCAGGATCCTAGAGCCCATATATACCGTTAATTTGGAATTAAGGTTTTCGAACTCCCCTATGTGATCCCTTCGTATTCAGTAGCCTGAATTAAGACCCAGATATTCTCTTTACATCCTTTCTTTTTCCTAAACTATACCCTCACTTAGGGGAGAGTTGATTAGGACTTCCCAAACATAGGTTATAAACTTGTGACTAAAGGTTGAATCGAGGTAATCCATCCACATATACCAAAATAAATTAATCAACTTTAGTCCTGAATATTAACAACGGGATAAATTATTACAAAAAATAAGTATATTATATTCAAGAAGTCAGCAAAACAAATAAAGATGTATTTTAAAAAAACGATTAAATTTAAACTCACTTGTAGTCGAGTTTGTATTGTCTGTAAATGAACGAGACGAGTTTGATCGAGTATAATTTGTTGAAAGCCTTTTTTTAGGAGGTGGACGAATTTTTCTCTGTACCACATTATTATTAGTATTATTATTACTGTTGTTATTAATACTACTATTCTGTGAAGTAGAAATTGGATTCCAAACATCTGTGGTACAATGAGTTGATAACTTTGTGGGTTGGATAGCAATTAAATGATCTGTAGGGCGACTAGGCGGTACATTATTGTTGGTGGTGGTAATGGTTGTAGTGGTTATGTTATCACTTGAGACACATTTATTCAAATCATTTGAAATCTTATCTTCCACTGCAGTATTTGAAAATGCATTTAAGTTACTGATTGGTCCAACTGAATGTTCAGTAGATAATACACTAGACACTGACTTATCACTTGTTTCATTCTCTTGTTTGGACATCCAACGAGTATGATGTTCAGAGATTTCATCACCTGAAGAGTAATCGAAAATAATTAGTTGTATGATTAATTTTAGATTACGGTGATATCTTCGTTACAAACATGTGAGAAAAGAAATTCACAGTGGAAATAATTCCCTTAACAGTAAAATGCAACCTCATAAGTATACAATAAAAAAGACTCCCGATTCGGGTCAGATGTCTTGAATCGCTTTCATTCACTAGTCTTTTTTGAAAAAATGCATAGAATAATTATAAGTGTAAACTAGACATCATGAAAAAAGCTTTCAAGGCTTTCAAATAAAGCGTTTAGGCTGACCGATTACACAAGAATACAATTTATATTCATTCAGATCATTTCACTCAATATTCACTATGAAATTGTTAACCTAAAATAAAGCACATCACCAGCAAAAAAATGACATACAAATCTCAATTCTTAATAAAATCAGCTACAACCTTAATGGATCATAGCAAACCCACTAACCACCAAGACAAATTATGTTGGTTTACACCTTATAGCTGAAGTGACTTAAACATACAACTTTCATGATCAAATAACTTCCAAAGTTTAAAAAACTACAAATGTAAGGAAGTGAAGACAAACATTTAAGTACGATTACATGAATTCATTCGATTTAGTTAGGTTCTCATCAGATGCTTACAAACCTATGGCATTTTAAAATTAAAATTATCTCATAAAAGTTAACATGCTAATACAAGTGAATTTGATTAAAAGTGAATATGTATTATATATAATAAAGCGAAGATTCCAATTAAATCAAAAAGATTGAAAAAATTGTCCCAGATGTATACAGTAACTAAAGTTCATAGAGCTAAAAATTTCTGTTGATAATGTGATTTACTGACTGAACATAGGTTAATAGTGACAAAAGATAAATTGAATTACAATTAGTTAAGTAGAAATAAATTCGAAAGAACTGAAAATGATGTAATTGAAATATCGTGAACCCAAACTGATTGCATTATACAAAATAACATGTTCTTTCTTAACGAAATTAAAGATCGATAGGCAAATCCTTCATGTTATCGACGACTATGTGTACAGATTTAAATGCATCTGTTAAAGCAGTTACATTGGTGGGATAGAAGAAAGGATCTACGAACGACTCAAAGAACATGTTCCAAAACGTCTGAGGTCGGACTGATACAAGACTCAGTAGTACTATTTAAAGACATTCGTCTACTTGAGACAGGACATCAAAATGACAAAATAAAGACCTTTAAAGTGACTAATAAAGAATTAAACTCTGGTCTTCTGAAATTTGCTAAAGCCATAGCTTCCTAAAGAGTGAAACAAAACTTCTGTTTTTAAAAAAAAGTGACATATTTTTATTAATAGTAATGAAATCATACTCACTCGAGTATCTGTACAGCATCAGAGTTTCCTTTTACTAAACAACAAGCAGGTAACCCATTTTGAACTACTATACACGAATGCTTTACCTAACAAGTAACCATTTCAGAATGCTAAAAAACGAGCGTATACCCTTGCGATTCAGTAGATGAAATCCAAGAAATCAGGATCAATTCTTTAGAGAACTCGTCGGTTCAATAAAATTTAAGCAAATTAATCCTTTCTTATCTGCTACTTGAATTTGTAACTAACATTTAAGTAAAAATAAGAAAAACAAATTTTCACTTTCATCAGAAGATCTGACGAAACATATTATAACATTCTGTCATTTGTTTCCGGAGTCGTTGTCGTGTTACGCACTGGATTAAATTACAAATATCCGAACCAAGTCAGTTTAGTTTAAAAATTAGATGAAAGAGAATACGGGTATATGATTGGTCAATATTTCAGCTAATTTTCTTGAATCTGATTGGTCGGTAAACGAACAAAAGAGCGTGGGGACTGACATAGATGAAGTATGTATAAGCAAAACAATAAGTCGGCGTAGCTGGACTAGAACTAACTATCGATCGTGCCTAGAACATTGATAAACTATATTCAGGCAGATAATGGCGAATAATGAAAAATGCTAACTAAAAATAATTTGCAATACACAAATTAAAATCATTTTACAATTACTGAGAGGAATACATTTATCAAAACTACTCCACCATGATTAGCCTTTCAAGAAAATCAAATCAAATCTATTTTACTCTATTGAGTTGCATGTTCAAAGTAAACAATAGTAAAATTTTGATTTGATCCGTAAATAAACTGATCAACAGCCAGTTGAATTAAAATCTTACAAATAATCTGTCAATACATTGTGTGCAAAGTAACATCGATAAAAGTAATAAGTTTCAATTATATAATTAAGAATTCGAAAATAATAGTTTCAAACTACTCTTACTATAAGATGAGATGTCAAGTTGGATGACATTATACAGATGTTTCACTGTACAGTAAAAATGTTCAAATACATATTGGGAACATGCTAATGAAAATAGAGATTCAAATGCCTTTTAATGTTCAATTATACCGACCCATGATAAGGAATTTTTATAATTACGAGTTGATGTAAGAAAATTAGTGAAGCAGTAATCCTTCGCGGATGATGACCGGCAGTAATGATCAGTAAAGGTTTAAAACCAATAAATGACATTTTAGTTGGTACTAAGTGTGAACAATCAGTCTTTAAGCCTCCACAAAAGTGGAAAGACATAGTAAAATAATATAAATAAACAAACATGAAAGTTAGTACAAAAATGTTGGCAAACTTCACAGCAGTCATCATAACTGAAAAATTATTTGTAAGTAAACTCAAACGTAAATTTCAGTTTGTGCATTTAAATTAGTTTTGAAGTTTACATGAGATCGAAAACTTTATTACTTGTTCATGATAGGTTGATAAGTATTTAATATTAGTTAGTGAAGTAACTTACATCGATCACAGAAAGTGAGAGTTTTCTAAATGCAACTTCAAGCATTTCCATTGATGGATATCGAAAGGAGGATGCAAAAAAGTCAATGGTTCAACAGTGAAACATCTCTTCAATTCTGCTGAATTCGACCCATCATAATAATCTTTCAAAAGCATCTACAGGGTCAACTGATTGGAGTAGGAGGGGTACAAATCAATAACTTGTGCACTGTGGAGGCGCTAGTAACTTAACTCAAAGCTGAACTCTGTATGTAGAAGCAGCATGTGCAATCTCTCTCTCTCTCTGAATAATAGTTGTTAAAACCTAATTTTTGATCATTAATTATTAACTCATGAACGTATTTTGCTTCTTTGTCTTCTTCATATTCACCAAAGGAACAATTATCATTCATACATTCTTTCGCAACTTATTAATTTTGTTTATACTCTAAAGTTGTGCCATCATCATGTGATTCCTGAAATTTCCATGCCCCCTAAACGATCAGCAACAAACTATCGTGAAAGAGAACAATCCACATTCCAGGTGAAAAGAAAATTATGAAAAGAAAATGGAGGTAGGTAGGGTACATATTACGGAAATCATCAATCACTAAACAAGCTATAACTCAGGATCATCAAGGTAAAAGGAAAAGAGACAGGCTAAAGAACACACTACACCGATAATTGGAAGCAGAAATCAGAGGGATGAATAGCAAATGCAAACAACTAGAAAGACGAGACCAAGAAAGAGTTGGCTTGAGAATACTGATCGGTGGCCTGTGCTACACGAAGGGTAACAGGCATAGATAATTAAGTAACTGATAACCATCAGTTCGTATATTTAAAATCAACATTGAATACATATTACTCTTCAAACAGTCTAAGTAATCTTTTACTAAATTCGCCTTACAATACAGTAAAAACAAAACTGAGTAAAAAGCAAAACAAACCTTGAATTTTCAACTCCGTTATAGTGTTGTTAATATCATTATTATATGGCGTATCTCTCTTTTCACATGAATTATTCACTTTTGGTGCATTATCTAATTCCATCATAATTTGTCCCATATTCAAAACCATATCATCAGTACTTCCACGAGCTAATGATAGAATGGTTCGTGCAGCCTGTAATTCATCTTGACTACGATCATGATATTCCAATGAATTAGATGTCATATTTATATCATGTGTGTTAAAAATATAATCTTTGTGATAAACAGTTGTTAAATTTGTGTGAGCTTCTTGATTCCCTTTACTGGAATTCACTGAAGATAATGAGGAGGATGGCACTGGAAAGAGTGACAATAAAATGTAAATAAATGCTTGTCCATTATTTTGGTTTTACTAAACATCTAAAAAATCAATCCTTAGTACAATAACATAAAGACCATAAATGAGTGACTGACAGTGTTAGATTAGTAATTTGATATCACTGGAGTAATTTTAATTTCACGTAACTCGGTCATTTTTGTAAACTAGTAGTTAGATTACAGAAACAATTGTTCCGATTGAACAACATTGAGACATAATGAATGGTGACGACTGTTTCATGATTGAAGCACTCAACATTCAACCAGGTGGTTTCAATCCCGCTCTATTTATTTCGATTTCGACAACTAGATAATGTATTAATGGCTATCACAAACAAAATGATGCAATTCAGAGCTGAGAAGATAATCTAACATGTTGTGACAAGATTTTTGAAAACGATACTTACCTTTTATTAAAAACATTCAGAAAAATACTCAAATGAGTCACTTTCATACAACCAGAAATATTCTGATGGCTTAAATGCAGTCTAATATCTATTACCATATTGCCCAATTTATTTTTATTTTCAAGTATAAATATTTCAAAATTCATTGTCAGTCTAATCAAACTTATCACGTTTGTGCACATATTACAATGACTAATATTGAATGGTCATATGTGTAAGTAAGTTCACACAAACACTCATATGAGAACCCAATACTAGTGAAAGTATTCCACCTTTAATAAAACAAAATAAAACACAATGTTATTTGCTTGATTTACATACATAAAATAACATGAAGTCAAGCTGCACATTAAAGTGAATGAAACAGCGAAAACCGAGTTGTAGAGCCTTTAAAGTCAATAGTCCAGAATATATCCTAGTGAAATTTCAGAGATAGCATTTGATTGTCTTAATTCACTTGATATTGTTTTTGTTTTTTATTTGTTTGAATCTTCCCATTGATGTTTAGGACTGAAATTGACTGAACAATTTCAGTCCTAAACATCAATGGGAAGATTCAAACAAATAAAAAACAAAAACAATATCAAGTGAATTAAACTTCACCCCATTGCAAAAGCAAGTGGCTATCAGGACTCAGTAGCTAAGTGGATAACGCGATGGCGTTTGAAGCGGACGGTACTGGGTTCGAGTCCCGGAGTGAACATCAACTCTGAGATGCTGGTACATCCAGCTGACCAGTCCCAAATAGGACGAAACGCGCGTCCTGGATTCCACTGCTAGCCACTATCCACCTTTGATTGTGTTGTTTTTATTATCTTCAATAATTTTTCAAAAGTCAATATGAACAAAAAAAGGCAAAAATACTCAACATAGGAAGGTAATCGTAAAATGATGCAGTTTCAAATTCAATACAAAATTTTTTCGAGACTTATAAAGCCTACTTAAAAATATCATAACTTTTGATAGATTTTATTCCAGTGAATATATCCATCATATTTTTAAAAAATAGTAAACCCTTATATAACAAAACTTGTAAATTCATCTTGCCCCTATAGAAATTGGCATGTACTGAATGCAACTCTAGTCATTTGAGAATACATTTCAACTATTACACAAATGTAACCAAATTTCAATTTAATTGTGAAAAACATGATAAAGTGTGCAATTCATTATGTAATGTCTGATTTGTATCCATCAATATTCTAATTCTTTTTTCGACACTAAAATGTTCATGTCGACTTCATTGAGTTATGCTTACTCATATTTGTTTTTAAATTCTCCCCTTAAATAATCAACATATACTAATAAGCCAATTACGAATAAAAATTACAAGTTACAATAAAACGAATGCCTTAGTGTATTTGAGTAGCTTTTGCTACCTTTAAAAAAATACATCCAACACAAATAAAAGCTATAGAGAATAGTATAAATAAATCACTTCCAGTTAAATTATTCCTTATAACAAAGCAAAGATCAATGTTAGGAGGAAAGTTTCTGCAAATTAATAAGTGCTGAACACATAGTTAATCACCGGTTTCTAAATTTACCAAAAGATCCATTGAAATACACAGTAAGGATGAAACAATAAACTTTCACAGAAATACTGGAATAAACTAAAAAACAACCACTGAATTTTAAATAAAAACAATCTTGAAATAAGTTCTTATATAGTTGATTTATAATCTTGGAATAATTATGCCAGAGCGTGGTATATTCTGTTGTCACAAAAGAAGGAGATAATATATATATATATATATATATATATATATATATATATATATATATATATCCGTTGCCCGGAGACCATCAGCAACAAACTATCGTGAAAGAGAACAATCCACATTCCAGGTGAAAAGAAAATTATGAAAAGAAAATGGAGGTAGGTAGGGTACATATTACGGAAATCATCAATCATTAAACAAGCTATAACTCAGGATCATCAAGGTAAAAGGAAAAGAGACAGGCTAAAGAACACACTACACCGATAATTGGAAGCAGAAATCAGAGGGATGAATAGCAATTGCAAACAACTAGAAAGACGAGACCAAGAAAGAGTTGGCTTGAGAATACTGATCGGTGGCCTGTGCTACACGAGAGGCAACAGGCATAAGTAATTGGATCAGCTATTAAAATTGAGTTTCATAGTTTGATTGGAATTAAAAAAAACTAGTCACTGAAATTAGATTAAGTAGTATGAATATTAATATCCCAAACACTAGTACGCTGCTGATCTTTTTCTCGAGTCGTGTTTAAAACTCTATCGTTTTAAAGGTATTTATTATGAACGACCCCACTCCTAAAGAAGGATCTTTAAACCATCTAATGCACTTATTTACCTTGAAGTACATAATTAGAAACACATTGCATCTTGGTGGAGAAAAATGACAAGTAAATCAGGAAGAATATTTATCTGTAAGAAAATATAAAAGACGATGAAACTTCCCTCCTTCACCCCTATACATTTAAGGAAAATATTATACTTTGAGTTTGACTATTTATCAAATCGATTTTTCACCAAACAGTAGACCTACAACTCTGTTATTTTGGTACATGTTTTTCAACCAGTAAATCACGGTTTTGAACACTTGTTCTGCTTAACAAGGTTTAAAATATCCAGTAGTACACAAACTAGTCTGCCCCACATAAATTTTGCTCATGCACTAGTAAAGTTATTATTTTTGTAATGCGCGGATATTCGATGTTGATGGTTAACACTGTCATTTAAAGACAGTTGTAATGTGAATCCAGTAATTACTCAAATCTTTTTAAACTTCATTCATTTTGTCCCTGGATCATAGAAAACATGTGTCAAATTGAGTCAACCACTGCATTATCATAAATAGTCCATCAACAAAGATGAACGCTGATATGCTAAACAATGAATAATAAAAAATTGATGATATGAAAAAAGAGAAGTATACTGAGAAATTAGGTTTCATTAGTAAACTAGGTTACATACTTAATTTAACAGTTTGACTGATAAAAAATATACTTACTTAATATAGAGTCTGTAGATAGATAAGATGATGATGAAGTGAGTGGTAGCGATGAAGAAATAGTGTTTAATTCTGTTAAATATTCTTTTGTATTACAATTATTCATCCCATCAAATACTGTGCTATCATCACCAACCAGTGAATTGGTATCCAATGCTGAAATACACTGTTTCACAGCTAATTTATTTGCACAAACCAAAAATTCAATAGTTTGATTGGGCGAAAGGTGGAATTTTAGAATTCCTGTAATAGATGGTTTACGAGGTGGGAAATTTGCATCATTTGCTTCGTTTGGCTCGTCATTCAAATATGTGATGAAATTGTCTGATTTTAGAGGCTAACATATAAAGTTGACAGAACAAATGGGAGAGCAAAAAACAAAGAAATTTAATTCAACGACACATTTTTTAAAAGTCTGCAATAAATTAGTTAGCCTTGGATCTTCTGAGGTTAGTTACAAAGCTAATTTAATTTTTTTTGAGGAAGATCGATTAGTCAAATAAAAATATGAATCCCATTGAATGTGGATTACTATTCACATCAACAGATAGTATTGAGGTAAAAAAAAAATACAATGGGACTTTACTATTTATTATCATCATCAGCGAGTTATGCAATCAGCTTACTTTACTTCAAGATGACACAAAATATACGTCCGAAAAAAATTACGTGTTTTGAAGTAATGGAAAGAGTAGAAGCTAAGTTTAAGGGATTCCTGTATAATGAAGGTTAATAGTAAAAATATAATTAAGATGAGAACAATGTAGAACTCGGAAAAAAAAGTATCCGTTAGTTATTATATCTGTATTTCTAAACATAATGAATTCTGCTGATCCAAGGTTGAAGAAACTATTTAAAAACCTACTGTGATTGGAATAACCAGTTATTACTAATAACTATTATACAAAAGTTCAGTAAAAATGTGAAAATGACGAACCTAGATTTGGTTACTAAATTATACTGAAGTTATATTTGAAGTACTAAACTATAAAATCCTTCAGTAAAAAGGACACGTGAACTTTTGTGATGTAAATTTCTCGAATTAATCGACATATACAATACATAAACTCAAGAGAAGTACAAAATAAAACTGGATAGAATAAAAAGTAAATACTCTTGTACAATAAAAACAAATAATTCGAAGGACATTCCCTCAAAACCATAGATAGTCCTCCCTGATGAGTGCCAAATAGTACGAAATCTAGGTCCTGAGTTTCTTGTCGACTACCTTCAACCAACTAACATTGGTCACGACTATCGCATGGAATCTTAATAGACAGTCTGAACTTCACCATATGAGGTTCAGATCAATGACCAGACTTCATGAACTGATGCAATGTCTAGGTTTGACGCCCTCCAGTTTCTGCCCAAGAGACTCCTGCACTAGTACTGAAATAATAGTTCAGTTACCTTTCCTTTGCAGAAGAAATTCAAAGATAAATCATCAGCCATTTAAATAAAAATAAGTACATAAAACATTTGTAATTTGTCAAAAACTAATTTTGTTTATCTGTTGATTAAAAAAAAGTTTCGATTAGTTAATATTTTATAATAATTTTTCAGAAATGTTTTCAGCCATACGATCTATTCGAATATGACTCATTTAATTCTGACCTCACTTTGACCTTTCACAATAAGTATACAATTTAGTAAACTCATATGTTTCTGTATTCGCAACAAATAAGGGTAAATTGATTTATTTCTGTCAAGGAAATTAAAAAATAGTTTAATTATCAGCTGGTTACATGTTCTAGGCTAGACTATAGCATAGAGTTTGGTGTATATAGTACTACAGAACCTGAAAGTGAGAGAACATAGAGCTTTTTAATTTGCACTCCGATTTCCAATAAGTTATGGTATGATATCAAAATATCTAATAAATTCAAGACTAACTTCACTTAGCCAAATTACATTGACATTTTATTTTGATCCTAGTACAGAATAAATTAATTCTCTACCACAGTTTATATTCCATTTTGTAGGACCAGGCAAATATATGCATCGGTCCAAGTTGCCATACCGCATTAGCACAACAAGATAAACACCGGATTCATAAAGTAGTTAATTCAGTGGTGGTAATATATAAAAGAAAGATTGTATGTAAAGAGATAGTACAAGAAGATAGAATTAGTTCGTAGAAAGAAAGATATGAAGTGATTTTAATCTCTTAGTTTAAGGGAAGATAAAGGGTGTATACACCTACGCCATTGTGATCGATTCTGAGCCATGTCACCAAGAGTCTCCAACCATTGGTTACGATAATCACGCGGACCCCAACCAGGCAGTCTTAATCTTCCAACATGGCTCAAGCCAGAAGTTAGTGACTTCAAGCACTGATGACACGTTTTGGTTTGGCCACCCCTGACATTCTTCCAACCATCCCCAACACCAGTCAGCATTGCGCGTCATGGTAATCGGTGTTCAAACGCTGCTTTTAAGTCAAGGAAGACCACCATTGTCGGACGCCGATAAGTATGCATGTGTTCTAGAACTTGACGAATGGTGAATATATGGTCGATTCAGCCACAACCAGGTCTGAAGCCAGCTTGATTCTCTCGTGTTTGCAGTTCACGAGTCTTAGTTAGGCGTCCGATAATTATTGAAGTTATTATTTTAGATACTATATTAGTTAAACTAATCCCTCTAGGGTTGTCACATGATAATTTTGACCCTCTCTTATATCTTGGGACGATAAGTGATTCAACAAAGTAGCATCCCTAAACTTTATACAGCAAAGTGATTAAATATATACTGTGGTTTCTGAGTTGTACAATCAGTTTGACGATGTAATGTAAATTATGAAGTAATTTTAAGTAACAGTAAACATACACGTTACATAACAATACGAATACCTCTCTTATATGTAGATAAAACTAGTTAACTACAGTTATTAACGCATGCTTAAATATTCAAAACAATTAGATGGTAATATTCATACAGAAATACATAATACCTTAATTCATTTTCAATCGATCATAAATAACTATTTCAAGATTACAAATGTATTTATTTATTATTTATTTTATTTTAACACATAGATATTGGTACAAGAAGGCACCAAATACATATGCGCCACACATATCTCATTTGATATGTGTGAGGGCTGTGATACTGCACGGGTGCCCAAACCGAAACAGGTGGTTTTCTTAGGGGCCACACCCCGAGCCACCGACCTGAAGATCTGATCCACAAGGCAGTGGAGCATCGTAAGGAGATGCAGTCCCATGGTAGCCGGTGACCAACGATTGGTTCATACGCCATTTGTTCCCGCAGGATACTGGAGCCCATGTGCACCATTGGTTTGGGATCCGGTTAAAGCGCCGGAAATTCGCTTTTCGTCCTCTCATTTTCGTAAACAACACCCCCGCCACGAGAAGGCAGTGAGTAGGACTTCCCTGGCAGGGGCTGTATACGCGTGGCCATATGAGAGCATTTCGAGAGGGGGAACGGACTCCCCCCACTCTCGGCCATACCAGGGCATTAATCGAACAAAAAGTGTTAAGTAGCTTGTGTTGTACTAGCTAACTGACTGACTACTTAGTGGTGCACATTTATACCCTTTATATAGTGATGATTTCGGACGATAAAGCATACAAACTGGTTTTAAGACCACTGAGTTAATATTAAGAGAATCATCTTGACAATTTTAGGGGACTGGATTCTTTATCATTTGAGTGAAAACTTTTGTTATATCAATCTCTGTTAGTGAAGTATTTGTAAAATTAATGGATTATAGGCCTAATCAAGTGATTTACAATAAGAATAATAGACTTGAAGAGATAATTTGAATGGATAATTACAGTAGTTAAAAATCACACATGTTTATAAAAACAAGTCAGATTATCCAAGTTATGAGAACCACAATTACATAAGTTTAATTAATCACTAAACAAACTCTTAAGTAATGACATCTTAATCATTTTCTGTGACCTAAGAACCTATAGTATCTTTTTAAGTTAATCAACAGACCATATGTAGGGGATATGTACTATATATCCTCAACTATTGGCTAACTCGATGTGCGACATTTGCTTATGTGGAAGTAGGTTGGATGGAAAATAGGAGTGGTCAAACCAATATGCAGTATAAATCTGTGAAGTCATTGACTCTAGAAATGGGCAATGTTGATGCTGGCAGCCTAACTGGTTGATGTCCTCGCAATTATCGTAATCAATGGTGAGAAACACTGGGTGACATGGCACAGAATCAGTCCCAATGGCGTACATACCTTCACTCTTTATCTTCCATTAGATATTGTGTTTTAGAATTATCTTACACTTTTATTCTCCGAATTCACACTTTCTTTTCGAATCACACTATCTATGCTCAGTCTTTTCTACTACAGCTGATACTATTACTAATCCCACTACTCTGGTACTTGTTTCCTAATGCACTCGCATTGTGCGAACATAGTGTGGTAATTTCGACCGATACATATATGTACCAACTTCCACATTTCTTATGACTGATTGACTGACTGAATCCATATTCCGTAAAATGCAAACGTAAATTGTCTACGAGTTACAGATTCATAAAATCGGTCATTATTTCCTTTTTTCTGGACTAAATGTAATTCTTTAAAAAAAGATCGTACACATCAAATGCCATGACAACAAGAAATATCACTTAAATAGTTTTATGGTCACAAAATAATAAGAGGTCATTGGAATTAAATGGATGAAAACAATACATTATTCATTCTATAACACAGTTTAATACGAATAGATCATTAAACGATAACAAGTTGCGATTCAAAAAGAACACGTACAGATTGAGACATAATAACTTAGCCTATGATAAATAAAGCATGACCTCAGTGTATTTGTTTTCCAAAATAAAGTAATATGAAATGTACTATATAACAAAATTTCAAGGTCAACTTTAAAACAAACAAAAAACTAATGGTAGTAATAATATTAACTTTAAGGGATTTATCTGGTTGAGATAGCATAAAATATTAAATGATATGATTGAAGTTAAGATGAGGTTGCAGCATTTGCCAAAAGTATTTTATTACTTCATATCTAACTTTTCCAATATTGTACAGAACTACAACACATTTAAAATCAAGGTTGCATAAGAGACTGACATCAGCTGGAGAAACAGAAAACCAAAGGGTATTGAACAGCTGGTTTGTTCTAGTTTGTAATTCATTGATCCCCACCCCTAAACTCCCATGATATTGAACCTCGAAATGATAACCGTCTAGACAACTGATTCGGGACCCAATGATCACCATTATTAACGTCAATGAATTCGTGATAAATTGCACAATTAATTCTCACTACAATCAGTGATGTGTGCTACATTTTCTAGCATGGTGAAACACAACTAATCATAACTTCACAACTATTCACTAAATCAGCTTGGACTTTGATTTGGCAGTCAATGGAAAATATCGAACATTCATTATACGCCATCAATATACTTTACTCCATTTTTTCTCCTGAACTGTATTTAAAATACCAACCACTTCAATAAATGATCTTCAGAATATAATGTGTACAAATAAAGGCGTACACAAAAATGTGATAGAGTACACAAAAGTTTATCCATTTAAATTATTGCACTTTCTAATTAATAACTCCGCCTAATCAATAACTCAATTGTTAAGAATTCAGCGTTAAAATTATTGAACTATTTTTTTTATTAAATCAACACTGTTTATAATTCTTAATTTGGCACAAAACTAAATATAAATCTGACAACCTCTTAATCACTTGATCATAACAATTAGGAACGTATAATATTAACCTATAAGGTTTAGATATAGATATAAGATAAAAGGAATCATAAATTTATCAATATCGAAAACTCATGAAATAATACTAAGTGATAATGTTAGTCATAATAAATAAATCGACAAGTAACAGTAAACGATTATATTTAACTCTTCTTATTTTAAACAACTATATATATGGCACAAAAAACACGTACTCTTGTAACACATAAGCATAACACATATATCTACAAACATATTTATGTATGTATGTGGTCATTCACGCGTCTATTATTAGTAATAAAGTGTACACAAATTTCATAAATTAATTTAACTTTCTTAATTTTATATAGACATAGAAAAGTAAAGATTTCTCATTGATTAAAATTCAAGGACATTTAAATAAATGTTTATTGGTAATTAATATTATTATTATTATTACTCTAGAAAAATAGACAGGCATAATGTTCTCTTTAGTTTGCTTTTATTTATTATAAATAATCGATTAAAAAGTGAATGATTTTAATTTGAAATTAATTAGAAATATTTATATGTAGTGTAATTTACAGAAGTACAAGGAGAACATTTTACATTCTTTTCATTTTAACATAATAAAAATAGTGTAATGATTGAATGATTGGTTGACGTTTGAAAATTTACACCACTTATGATATGACCTATCAAAGAGGTAGTTCTATAGTGGAATAGTAAGATCGCTTTCGACATATAGTTGATTATGTAACATAATCAGTGAATGTAGATAATCTGAACATGCTAGAAGTATTTATTTTCTTTGATATTTTAAAAGTATTAAATAAGCAACAAATAAAAAACTAGATTTCATGTAAAAGTTTGGATAAATAAGGTGGAGTCAGTGAACTAAGTTGTTAGTCTTTTTTTTTGTTCAACACAAGTTACCACTTACATTGATTGACTAAACTGATTTGACAGTTTCTTTACTATAGAATCTTTAACCAGAGACAATTAGATATACGTAAGTGAATTTCATTTCATGATTAGTCCATGATATTCACAGATATAATTAAGATATAAACATTCATTAGTGAATCAGATACGGTTAAAATGCACAACACTAACAGGTTTTACGAAGATACTTGAGGAAAAGCGCTTAGATACTAGTTCATTGAATAAGTTAACCATTTATTTGAACTGTTTATTTAACTTTACGTCGTATAAGTCTTAAATCAGTTATTTATGTGACTGTTATCAAGTACACAAAATGTAGTAATTGAAATTGAAATGCTTTATCCATTAAACTACAGTTCTATCCAAAATTAATTATAATAGTGTAAACGAATTTATTAATTTTATTTTTTTAAACAATTCGTTAATATATATGTATGTATATATTCCTTTTTGTCCACTGAATAAAAAATTTTTATTCTTTGTTTAATGTTTAAATATGTGACAATTTGAATGAACTGTAGTACCATTGTGAAAAATTTCTAGATTTAAAAAATAATCTATTTGTCCAAGTAATTCAATGCATTAAATTTTTATTTATTTAATCACATTATAGCAATACTGCAAACAATACAATTATCTTGAAATGATAGTTTAAAAATGTAACATGAATATATAAAGCTATTTAAAGAAGCGTTAATTATTGGGACATATTAATTCCTGATAATGATGAATCTTAGACAATTGTACCGTGAAAAAAAAGGAAACATGATGAACTGTTGATAATGTTTTCTAGCTTCCCTAAAAAAGTGTAGTCATTCCAACGTGATAAACAATTCATAAACAGAACAAAATGATCAAGCTGAAGATGACTGTCATCACTAAATAATCTCAACCTGATTCATTGAAGTCCAGGGAGTACTGAAGAACCATTATATTCTACTTTACACTTATAACCTCAAGCAGAATCCAACCCAATAGTTTCTATCTTACTTCCAAATTGCTTAGTGTAAAATGGTTATAACTTGTAATACTGTTATATATATCACGCATATACATATGGTAAATTGGAATTAGTTTTGGCATAAAGCAAATAAAATTTTTATGTTTTCCATTAAATGCCTAATAGAAACAGACAAATATACGAGAAAATATTATTCACAGATAGATCCACTAATTAGATTTTTGTGTATAATTTTAAAATCAGTTTCACTTAACTTCCTCTGCATACAACTAAACTGATTTATTAGCAGACAGGTTAACTGATTAAGAATAGAAATATTACAACGATAATCATTATGATGATAATCTATTCACGTATTCAATCAAGTCAATTCATCATTCTCACCATTAAAAAAGAATGCAAATATCAGAGCTATTGAAGATAACTTCCAACTGGCGAAGGTCAAAATTCAATAGTTAATTGCAATAACAGCCCGATAATTTGACTGATTCTTAATTGTTTTACTTCATTTATTATTTACAATTACCTTAAATAAATCTTTCTACATCTGCTTATAAAAATCTTTTGAATTTTGATTGTGAACTACTAGAATATATGACATACATTTTTATACTTAACAAGATATGTCGTATCTTTTAAAAATGTAATATCAATGTATTCAACTAGTTATTTTTAAGAGAGAAAAAAATATCCTTAAGACTCCCACTATTTAATTCTTTTAGTTGTATTACTTTGATGTAGGTATGTTTAGGTAAAACAAAAAAAGATGTGTAACCGTAATAATAACTGTAATAATGATCAAGACGTAAGTCACAAAAATAAACAAAATAATACGAATTCCATAGTGAATTTATTTGTTGTCAGATGTTGTAATAGTTATATTATCATAATGAAAGTGATCCACCGATAATAAGAACAAAAGTTATCTCGTTATATAATATTTTAGATAAAACAAACCTCTATAGTCAATGACTAAATTAAATACAAAATGTAATTTAGAAGAAATTTTAACAGACTAATTATAAAACTATAAACTATTTGTTTTACATTGAAAAGATCGGAATTATTTAAATTTGAACAGACCAGTAATATTCCTAGTCTTTTTATGATAAATTTAAATGAAAATTTAGTATACAAATACACAATTCATTCATAAATTGCATGAACACTAAAATCAAGATAAAGAAGGTATTACTCACTTTACCAATTATACGAACAATTAATGAAGTTTCATCCACTAGAAAATACAGAAAAATGAGAATATACATACATACGAAAATAATGTAGGTTGTCAAATGTATACAACTATTGCATTGTAATAAAACTTATCTACACAATTCTTACCGTACCAATACAATAATTGATAATTTTATGTATAAGTGAATAAAATACTTCATTTTCAACCACTGAGTTTGAATGCTCCAAAAACCGTTCTATACACTTTAATTTAAGTAACCGAATAGCATAAATTTATTGAACCTCGACAACTAATGTGGAACTATTCGTTCAAATTTAAGCGAAAGTTGACATAAAATACTAACTCGATACGTTACTATTCAATAATGACGGCTTTATAATAACGGTAACTGAAAATTCTATAACAGCACATAAATAGTAATAGTATTCCATAGAAATACATGATAGTATTTAAGTGATTGCAGGAAACAGGTCAATCCAACTTCATATTTACATGAAGCGATCAAGTCAACATAATTTCCATAAACTGTTTCATTTGAAACTACTTTATATTCTACGAACAAATAGGTGATTGTCAATGGAACTAATCACCACCCAGTGATCAATTAATTGTAAATACATTTACTTCTTATCTTCCTATCTTGAAGAGAGAATTTAAGGAACAATGATTATGATGAGTTGAAGGTTATAACTCCTAAGGTGGAAGCATTTCTAACTTTGAATCAACAGTAAGCTTAGACGTGTTCAATAACTATCAGAAAGTACAAATCTATGACTTTTTGTCACTATTATAATGAGAACAAATAGAAATCAATCCTAGTTGTTAGTATGCTGATAATCTATTTAAAGGTCACTCTATAGAATGTGTATGGGTAGTTTCTATATCCATCATTAGAGTAAGTGACCTTTCTCCTTTCCTTCATGATCACAGCTAATGAAATCTAATCACTAAATATTAAAAGTGCTTTCATATAATAAATACATACGATATGAGAAAGCGAGAAAAACCAAACAAAATGTTCACGATTAAAGTAGATGTATATTTTGACCAGACGTATATTCTTTGCATGTACTTCATAATAGGCCAACAAAAGATAAAGTGTACTTTTTATCTACATATTGTTCTCAAATCATATATTTAAGACGTGAAAACTTTCATGTATCCAGTTTCCAACCATAGTTTTTTTGTTTGTTTAAAGGCATATAACACTATCTGACCACCTAAACCGAACTAGATGATGTAGGGTTTGCATTTGTTGCTTATTGAATGAAAGTCAAGTGATTTAGTCGCTAAACAGACATTTCACTAGTTTGAATATTTATTAGTTATTAACTGCTAAGAAGTGATACCAGTTGAATTACTGAAATTGAAAAGCATAAAAGACTATTTTAAAAAAATAACAGCAGTTTAAACACGACGTGAAGTCATCGAATAACCGACACTTCGCAGTAGTTCGCTCTGCATTGCTTTATGGGAGAGAAACACGGTCTTTGGAAGTAAGATATATGCGTAGGATGAGGCTTTCCGATCATAGGTGTCTTCGAAGCATTACTCAAGTCTTATAGAATGACCGAGTGAGCAATGTTGAGATTAAACGTGAGGTATTTACTGAAGGTGTGAAACTAGTTGATGAGTTTGTGAATCTTTATCGACTGAGGTGATTAGCACATGGCTTACCCCAATAGGCAATATTTGCTGAAATAGGACTAGATTGGAAGTCAGGAACGTCCTCACCAATACATAGTGTTGGTTCATAAAGTTATTATCTCTCAGTCTGAGACATTCTAGTAGATGCAGACTATCTGGTTGAGACCCTTGTAATAACTATTATCAGTGGCTGCAGACTTCTGGTGACAGCTTAGATTTAGTAACAACAGCCTAGGTCCGATCTGCACTTAGAAGGACATGACACACATAACACTGATCACCACCCGGTGATCAATCAATTGTAAATACATTCACTTCTTAACTTCCAATCTTGAATTCCAGTTTTCCTTCATACATACGTCTCCATTGTCTTTTGAACTATATTCTCAATGGTTATCCTTTCTTTTTGTCACTGTTACTACATTACTTCAATTTTTTTTGCTATTCGTCTTGTGAATTTCATCTCATTGTGCTGATATGGTGTGGCAATTTGAGCCAATGCATATGTGCCGGGCTCTAGGTTAATGATGAATGATTGAGTGACCGATTAAAATCAAACTTTAAAATAATCGAGATTTCGTAGTGTTCCACTACCTAAGTGCTCAACTACAACCAACTTCCAAAAAAATAACTTTTCAATTCATCGTATTGAAGATCCTAATTAAACTAAGCTCAAAAATCCAAATTAAGCCTTCTAAAAATCTAAACCATACTCTTACGTTTTCCTGGTCCAACTTATCTAAAATACATATATATTTTTCACTGTACTATCATCAAAAGTAGAGATAATTATACTCTTTGGTGTTCATTTAACCCCTTATTCGAATTGGTCTGAGGGTAAATAAATGATATGAGATATTGAAAATCTGATTGTTTGTTCTCGTTCTGTTAATTTATTCGGTTGAACTGTGAGGTAATCAAGTCACACATAACAGGTAGCTAATACTTAATAAAACCGTGACGCTTATCACGATAAATATAACTTAAAGCCAATGACACTAGGTTTACTTTGGTTATTAACCAGATGAAGAGCTAGTTTTTCAACAATATTCATTTATGGCGCAAAGACTCAGAGAAATGTTCACCATTTGCAATTATTAAATGAATTAATTGTGGCTCCTCAATATGTAAACACTAGTAAAACAATGAAAAGCCGATACTCAATTGTTTAGATTGATTCTAAGATTTAACATAGAAATCACAAGCTAAATTTAAACAGTAACCAAGAAAAGTTTATGTACATTTGATATTTTCTTCTTGAACACAATTTTAATCTACCCTGTTATGTGTATTTGCACAAAACAGCGAAACATAGAGGTGATCCTGGAAGAAACTTGGTGCTACCTAGAGAGAATTTAACCTGTATACCTTAGTGGTATGATCAAAGAATTTATTGCTACGTTATTCATATAAAAATGATTAGATCATAAATTAACTAGATGATCACTGTTTTATTTTTGAACAAACATGCACCAAGTGCTATATATACTCTCAATGAGTAAGAAAAATAGAATCTTTATAATTTACTATTTTAACATCAGTTGTAATTGTTACTACTATCATGACAATAAGTATTTTGTGTAACGGAATTCCAAATGAGACCAAACTCCATGATTCAGTTTATGGAAGAAACATTGATTAATCATTTAATAAATTTGAATAACACAAAGTTTTTCTTCACAAATTGGGTTTACTTTCTTTTTTACATTATTATTATTTTAACACATAGATATTGGTACAAGGAAGCACCAAATACATATGCGCCACACAAATCTCAATTGATATGTGTGATAGCTGTGATACTGCACGGGTGCCCAAACCGAAACAGGTGGTTTTCTTAGGGGGCCATACCCAGAGCCTTCGACCCGAAGATCTGATCCACAAAGCAGTGGAGCATCGTAAGGAGATGCAGTCCCATGGTAGCCGGTGACCAACGGTTGGTTCATACGCCATTTGTTCCCGCAGGATACTGGAGCCCATGTGCACCATTGGTTTGGGATCCGGTTATAGCGCTGGACATTCGCTTTTCGTCCTCTCATTTCCGTAAACAACCCCCCGCCACGAGAAGGCAGTGAGTAGGACTTCCCTGGTAGAGGCTATATACGCGTGGCCATGTGAGAGCATTTCGTGAAGGAGAGCGGACTCTCTCCGCTCTCGGCCGTACCAGGGCATTTAGGGGCTATAAATTATGTTTCGGAGGTGGGATTCGAACCCACAAGTGTGTCGAGAAACGAAGAGTTTCACATCCTGTTAGAAATTATGAAGAGAACTTAACTGACCAAATATGTTTTCCAATAGACAAGTGACAAACCTTGTGTCTATAATGTCTACAAGTAATTATATACATATATCCAAAACGGAATGAGCACAAAACGATAAATTCACAAGATTGAATGTATGACCTTTAATAGAGGTCAGCTGTCTTTTATATTCCTGCATTATTACTCACTAGAGTGTTCGTGATTTTTATTTAGCTACTATTTCTTACCTCTTATTTCTGACTAAAATATTTTTTATATCAAAACTTTCATGTAAAGTTGGCAAACTAATCACTTTTATTAATGTTTGACAAATGGTTTGCAACAGGAGATGTAACCTGCGTTAAAGATCAATATAACTGACTGACTTGAATGGGATAACATTGTTTAAAATAGTCAACTGTACCACTGTAGAGTAAATTTTATATGTGTACATATAATTAACACTATTATATTGGATTGTATAATATAGCACTGTAAACTGAACTGAGAAATTCATTTGAGAATGTCAGAGAATCCCAAAAATGTTTCCAGAAAGGAACTCTTACTACACCAAAACATGAATTCAGTAGACACTAATTACAATATATCACTTTATTTAAATGAAACAAAAAGAGAGGAGGAAAAAGCGAATTCAAGTAAAACATTTGACGCTTCACTAGCTGAAGAAGTTAAAACTAGCTTAAACTGTACTTCCACTTCACTGATATTAATGACAATCGCAATATCAAATAATGTATTGACTACAGACAATTAGCATCGAAACCACGTGAAGGACAGGTGAAGTATTATACGTACTCATGTTTGCATGCGAATTGATAAACAAACAAGCACATGACTGCACGAATACAAACATATATGTTAATCTCAGTTAAAATTGGAAACATTGATACACACAAAAAGTAATCCTGGTCCAGCGAAGAAATTTTAGGTAAAACTCCCCTGATTACTTCAGGTGTATTAGAACTTGTAAAAACTTATATAAATCATAGATGAAAAAAGCACTAATTTCGTTTTAGTTTAAAAATATTTAACGTCACAACAACTATTCATGACAAAATTGAAAACTACGATAAGTCTGCTGAATTCTCCATCTTTAGTTCATATGAATCGAAAGTTTAACGTATACATTTACTTACCAGTTAACAAAAGCTAACCCGTATAATAAATCATTATTCTCAAGGAAACAAGGTTAAAAATATGCTTGATTACGGTCTTCTGACTAAAGATTTTACTTTGTGATGTAAACTGCATCAAAGTAACCGAGTCGAATACAATTTGTCAATACAAACTAATAGTACTTTACGACTGGTGGGCTATTTTCAGCCAAAAGCTCGATTTTCTGAATTAACTGCTTCTAAGATAAACTTACATTTTGTTGTAATAGTTTGAGATCGATGAATGTTATTGATTTGTAGTTGTATTCTATACTCTTTCCTTATGACTGAGTAATAACCCTCAGTTATAAAGAAAGAACAAATATCGTAACTGAATAATATGAATTCATTTATTTATGCATTCGCCTTAGCTGCTAAAACCATTAGAATTTCTAATATCTTAATTCCTACTTCTGAGATTTGCTCAACTATTCTACGTTATATAATTTATCTTTGGTTTCGAGAACAGATATGTTACAATGATCCTCTAGAATGCTCATATATTTAACCTATAAATAAGCAGACTTTGAACAATATTAATTCGTCCGTATTTTATTCTCTTAATATTATTCTATCTTCACATACTAACTAAATTCACGATAAACGTTTCCGATATAAAAAACGTATATTTGTTTTGTTTTAATAAGTAATGATACGGCTTTAGGTTGCAAGCAGCTGAGGAGGATCCATGAAATAAATGAAGTCATGTTATTCTGCTACGATATCTGCTCTTTTTTATTCAAGTTTATAAATGATAAAAATTGTATGAAGTTAATAGAATATTAAGAACGTAAGAAACATAGAGTAGGTCAATAAGCATCAATGCGATCGATCCTGAGCCATGTTCACTGTCATTTCCAAACACTTATCATTTAAATGACCTCATATAAAAAGTTTACACCTCCCTAGGTAAATGTTCAACCATTGAAAGTTTATAACACCATAAACTAGCTTACCCTCTGATACGATGCTCAATGATTAGGCTTATCAGGCAAGTCTTAAATGATTGGAGAATGAATGACGTACATGTTCATTTCCTCCAATCGCCTAAGACATTTTATTGTTTATTTTGTGTTCATATTTTGCATATCAGCACATTAATTACCACGTGAAAAATTATTCATCTGGCTATTGGTCTCGTCTTTGACTCCTAATCATTAAGGGGCCTAAGTGAATTATTCTGTCTCGTGAGTACCCATTACTCGGTCACATTATGTCGTTGCGTTCATCTCTCGATTAGTATTTCATTCATCAATTTCAACAATCGAAATTTCGCTTCACATGCAGAAAACTTACTCCTTAACATTCTCTCAATCTAAAACCGGATACCTATCTTTAACATTCCTTTAAGGACACCTATGACCTACTACCTGTTACCTAAACAAATCTTCTTTTCTTACTAGATATATCGCATATGCAATGAATAGAACAGAAGAATAGTATGCAGTATAGATAGTTACTTTCTAACAATCCATGTATCTTGACATTTTTCAATAACGCATCTGAAGATGTTACCGATAAACTGTCCACATCACGATTTACTACCTACATTAGGTACACGAATCGATGATGATAAAAATTTTGTTAATTTTACAGAGGGGAGAAACCATATTATTCAAACAAAGGCTCTTCTAGAAAACTTATTTCACTTACCGCTGTCACTATTTTTACGCTGAATTGAGCAAGAGGGAAGCTTAATGTTGTTCAATGACCTAAAACAATTGCAAGTATTAATGAATTAGTATAATGGTATTCACACTCAAGTAGATAAAACAATTTGAAATCAAATGCATCCAACACATTACTTTTTAATTATTATTGATGAATATACACAGAATTGTAAGAAAATAATTCCTGAATGTAACCACATTTTAAAAGAAAATTGACAAAGTGAGTAATTCTTTGTTCTTAAGAAGTAATTACAATGTTGTGTGTACAATAAAATAGGATTCCTGAGAAATCTTTTCCTCACATATAGGGTCAAAAGATGCTAGTCAATATTTAACGCACTTCTGGCTATCGTCTAGTAATCGCTGAAGATTGATGTTCTGAGAGATTGAATCACAGTCTGATAGCACATTACGATACTGTTCAAACCCAACCAAGAACCCGTAAATCTAACATAAATCCTCTATCGAAACAAGATTATGCAGTTTCCTGTGTGTGTGTGTGTCTTACCGTCGCTGTCAATTAACAGTAGATTTCTCGTACTATTTGCTCAAGATGACCTTGAACATCGACCATACATAGAGAGAATGCACTAATGTGCCATAGATAATTATTATCATTATCAAGTGTAGTAATATATCTGATAAGAGCAAATATCAACGCAGCCCTTTGTATCAGTATCGTTAACAGTTTGTATGTCCTAAACCGAGGTTGAAATAATAATTACACCAAATCACCTACATGATCTCTAAATCGTCATATTTGACTATTATTGACTTTCACTTGTGAAATTACAATGAAAAAAATATACATTTAACATACAAAATTAAATATACTGCTAACACGACTATTCCCCCAACTAAATTCTAAGTCTTCATATGAGATCGGCCAAATAAACAATAGGCAATTTTATAAACCAATCAGATAACAACTAGTTATTATATAGCCAATCACGAGACGACACACAAATATTTCGTCTTAGATAAGAATGTTAACAAACTTATTAAATAATCATAGCAACTTGGAATTAAAAACAAGTTGAAACTGATGATAAAAAAGCATTCATTATATAAGTGAAGAAAATGAATAAAATGAATAGATTAATGCAACTATGTAAATTTTGAATAAAAATTAAATATAATGAAGATGGTTGACCAAGCATAATAACGATGATAAATCTTGGAGTATACTACATGAAATCCAGCTACAAATTTCAGCGATCAAGTCAACTGAGGCTAGAGTATAACTTGTGCAGTGATGGAAATAACTGAATTATAAAAAAATATAAACCATTGTTAAATCTAATTACGAAGATATATTAAGTAAATATTAAGTAAAATATTATGACGCTTAGTATGAAATATTTATTAGCATGGAATTATAAGATTATTAAATTTTACAGAGATCACTAATCACTCTAAGTTAAGAAAAAACAATATAGCGTACAGATTCCCGGTTGTACGTTCGGAGACGCGGACTGGTGAGGAGTCCCATACTAGAAGGAAACGGCTGCCTAGTACTCCTAAGTTTTTAATGGTTACCTAACTTAGATCTATTTGTGAGCTTAGTAAAATAATATCTTGCTTTAGAAAAAAATATTAAATTTCAGCTGTGAATAATATGTTGACGAATAAAATCAAATTACGTCTACAAAGTATTTCGTCATAAATTAATAAGAGCACTCTCAACATTAAATATTCACGATATTTGAAAATAAAAACTTTTTCCGTTCTGTGAATTCTCTTTTCTATAATTATTTGTTCAAAACTACGTGATCGGTTTATGGTCACAAGTCTCTGAATTCACCTCTCCTAGCTTAATGAGTGCATTCTCACTAATCTATTGAGACTTAAAGTGTGTGAATAAATTACTTTGACGTACTAATGATGCGAAAATGAGATTTCTCACTTCACAGTTCATGTTAATTAACTCACTTCAATCAAATGCTTAGAATGAAAACAAAGAACAGACCTAGATAATCTATGAGAAATTAAAAAGCAAGAAAGAAAAGTCAGTTACATTATGAGCTATATCTGACAAAATATCTAACCATTGTATAACAATATTTCGGATCTTCACCTCTAGATAAAGGAAAAGTCTCGACTCATCTACCTCTTAAGTGATGGTAATAGATACCATATAGATTACTCCATTATTTAGAAGTTAAACGTATAATATAAAAAAGCTCTATAGGTTTTAGATATTTTTATGTTGCCTCGTCACTTGAACTAGAATTCAGATACTGTCATTTTAACGTAGATGGATACAATCATAATATACTTGTCAACTGATCACTAGTAACTGGCAACAATTGATACTAATTCAAACCGGTTAAAAGTAAACATTGTATCTAAAAAAACAATAAGCTTACTTTGAATTCAATGATTTTCTGCCTCTCTTTAAATGGGGTTTCTGAAAATACTCAGAGTTTCTATGTACGCGACAAGGTATGTGTTTGTCAAATCTTCCTTTAGTTTTAAACTGCATTCCACACTCATGACATGTAAAATTTTTAACTTTAACAGATGGATCATCACTTGATCGTTCAGAAGACTGAGACACTGACAGTTTGTAGAGAGCTTCATCTAAATAATTTAAAATGAATAAATCAATGTGATATGATACTACTAAATAAGTTAGTAAGAGAAATAAATTAAGGTTAATTGAATTTTTAAGAATAGATTAATTATTATCTGATGTCACTTAATTAAATCAGAAAAGTTAGAGAATATCATACATATGGTTTACTCTCGTCCAAGACTCCTGAGCAGCCCTTGTTTATGATTTCTTTGTAAAATATAATTCACCACATTCATATCTTGTATCAAAACATAACTTCTCTAAGCCATTCGGCTGGAATGGTGTTTTTTAATTCGTAGGAATGGAAGTTTTCTTCAAAGTAATTTAGTCTCCACAAATATATTCAATCAAGATTTATAAACAAATAAACACTACCAGCTAACCAAACAGATTATTTAAGCTGTTTTAATCTGATTAACTATTCACCTTTCCGTTTATTATCTACAGGTTAGTCAACCCAGTACTGGGTTCGAGTCCCGGAGTGAACATCAACTCTGAAATACAGGTACATCCGGCTGACAGGTCCCAAATAGGACGAAACGCGCGTCAAACTGGATTCCACTATCCATCTTTGCTTATAATGCTTGTAAATTAAGGTAATATCGAGGCATATGCACAGTATGCACATATGTCAATAAGAGACTGAACAATTTCAGTCCTAAACATCAATGGGAAGATTCAAATAAAAACAATATCAAGTGAACTACTTGAACTAAATTTAATGTTGCTTTTTGAATTAACTACTGGTCAAGTTATTCTAGCAGTCGATAAAGCTAAAAATCGTTCATTCATACCTGACTTGATCTTGATATTCGACCGATCAGACTTCTGACTAGTAAGACGAGGAATAGAATTAGGATCATCTTTTGACAACCTGCGTTGACGTTTACATGATGTTTTATCTGATGAAAGACTAGGAGAACGAGCAAATGAATCCAACGATTCAGAAATAGGTGGAGAATCCTGGTAAGTTTTTGAAACCTCCACTTTATATTTCCGAGGGCGACCAGCTTTGCCTCTAGGTTTACCTCTTGAAGGCTGAGGTAAAATTCGTTTAGCATATTCACGATGAAATATTATAGGCTCACAGTTTAACCCTTTATTCAAAGTTTCAACCTTTGGATATGAACGACGTCCTCTCCTAGAACCTGAACTAGCTCCAACAAATTCCCGGGGATTTGGCATTTTTTGTACAACTAAGTTTTAGAAACATGAAGACAAAAAAAACCAAAAATAATCAATATCTTAAAACCAACAAACAAGAACGTTATTAAGTATTATAAACTCTGAGTAATCTAAATGTACAACTATAACTCGTGAATTTAAAAAATCAACTCTTGTAGTTAATTACGAAGTTATCAATCAAGAAACCATAGGATGTTTCAAAAATGAAAATTCTGTGAAAATGATGCACTTATATAGATAATCTAATTCAATCTATAAGCTTGATGGCAGTATTTTTACAAGATAATTAGTGAATTTAAAGCATAGTCATAGATGGTTTGTTAACTGATATCGACTTATTGAGTTTGCGGATTCCCGTTATTGATTTCTTAGTTATTTTCATCATTGAGCAACAATTTATATGAAACCGCTTTACATAAGGATACTAGATATTATCAACCATAAACTAGTGAATCTAAATCTCGAAATTAGCTGCAATATTTAGAATGATGGTGTAAAATGATGAAAACAAAACACTAACTTTTTATTGTTCCTCAAACGAATCTCCGAAAGTTACTGCGAGGTGAAAATCAACAAAGATGTATCCGAGTACTTTTTAAATCACAAAATATGAAATTTCCAAAGTATTGGAAATTTCAGCATTTTGATTTCATGCGAACCTAACAGTGGATAGTATCTCAGTGATTTTTAGCACTTCAGACACGAAGATAAAAACATTCTGCCAAATAGTGGTGCATATGAACAAACCACATGGTAACTAATTCAGATAAAGATTCTAAATATTATTACTTTACACATAATCTAACAATGATAATATATGTAAACCAAGTAACAAATTTGTACAGTATCTAACTTTCATTCGATTGATAGTTTCACTGTAACTGCGTCGAACTAAACATATTGAAAACAGTAGTGTTACAAGTTGGATGTTATTGTATAACAGACTATGTTATAAATGAATAAAACGAAATTCGAGAGAACTTATTTAAGTGGAATTTACGCAAATAACCCTATGTTTTATCAGTTGAGATACCTAACCCAACTTTTAATCAGATGTCCAACGCTAAGCACTGAAATATATCCATATGTTTACATCCCCGAAATATAGGCTTAAATAGACTGAATAGCTTGGCGTCGAAATGAATGCATTTCACTTGAATACGAAAGCTTTTCGAAAACACCATAAACATTACGTCAATTTTAAGTTAACAACCAACCTATTAGTGTTCTTTTATAATTAAAATGTCTCTCAATAACATACTTCGACAAGTTATATATCACTCTTCAATTTATGCCGAGCAGAGATAGGAGCAATTACAACACATCATAAATTATAATAATACAAAGTCAGGCAGTTATGAAAATGTCGCTCAGACTAGCAAATATATAATACAGAAAATGCCGTAAGCTGAGACTTACGTTTTAATAGGTTTTATACACAGAAAGGTGGAAGCATGATAAATTGTCAAAATAATGCGAGATGCAGTTTGTCCCACCAAGATAAAGGTCAGAGTGATCTTAAAAATTCAAACACTAATTCACCCGGTAATTCCTTACAATCATCAAGTCACGAATCAAAAACAGATCAACCAGATAGTCAACCTCTATGATCACTGAGAGCGAAAACTGAACCTTGATTCATTGGACTATGGTCAATCACTCAATTGGCTCCGTGAATTGACCAATCAAGCGCTAATGACCTTGAACTGCTTTACCTGTGTTGGTAGATCGATCTAAATTGTCTGAAGGCTCAGACAATGTAACTAACATCTGATTGGCTTAACCTAATAGGTCTAAAACTTTATATTCTAGAAATTGGCCAATCGCTATGAGAATAATATCTATGTAGTCCTATCCGTCAATTATAGCTACGAATTAACACGCATCGGTCCTTGGGCCTTCCTAATGGCCCGATACACTGGGTTGGTGTTCCGAGTGGAATGATTTCATTGCTAGATTATCTGTAAACCAGTAATTTATCATCAATAATCACAGAAGGCGTATAAAATAAGTGGTTTCATTCCATAAATTAGATTGCTCGTTTTAGTTAAGGTCATATATACTAATAAAAACTGGTTATGTGAATCATGTGATTTAAATGGTCGGTATAACGGCATCTGGAACATAAAACTAGTTTGTAGGTTATTCTGGAATGCTTTAATGATTGATATGCTCTTATGTTAATCTGTACTGATGAATTTCTAACTGGATAGTCATTCAAACAAAATAGCTGTTTAGCCAAGAAAACAACTGATAAAGGATACTATGAACATGAAATTAAAATTCCATTTAAGTAAAAACGTAATCAGTATTCACATCTGTTCCAGTTCTCGTGTCCACAAAAATCTTTATTCTAAAAATCATTATAATCTAAAAATTATTTTTGAATAATTTATATACTCACTTTGATTTATGGAAACATATATAGTGGTTTTATAAGTGCCTAGTTTAGTTTTACGTCCTCTGATATTTATTTCATTTATAAATACATATTACAGGAAACTGTTTAGAGATGGTTAACCGATTAATTCAAGGTAACCAAATGTTTCAGAATGTTCAATAGATGTACATAAAATAAACCAATAATCCGTGATTTTCCTTAAAACAAGTGGCGGAACTATAATTCAGAGTAGAATTCATTCATTCGAATGGATAAATACCATTTTGGTATTACATTGACCTCAGTTCATGATGTAAATACTGATTCCTTATATTAATTTGCAACCCTCTTTGACGCTAGTAAGTAGGTGAATTTTTTGCAGGTAACTTGAACATCGCTCAATGTTCGTCTAATCCCACAAACTTGTGATCTTTTAAAATAAATCCCTAATTAAAAATTGGATTCATTCATATAAAATATTCTAATGATATTATGTCTTTCTGTTTTTGTTTACACGGGAAACAATTTATTTCATTACGTAACCAACTGTCGGCACCTCTACTTCACAGAAAACAAATCCATTGAGCTATTTCAGTAACGGAATACAGGATATTTATGTCCTCAAGAACTACCACTTCTAAAATCTATTTTTTTCGATCTACAGAATCCCAGGTTGCGGCCAAATTTTAGTTGATGGATTCATTGACTGTTAAAATTTGAGAGAAAATATACGTGATTTTAAGTTCAGAACAACTTCAATAGCTTATTTACTGATTATTGTCAATATTTCAAGTTATTTAATAGTAATACACTAACCCAATTCTCGCCTATTCTATATATTATTATTTTTAATTTAAGCTTATTTCGTGAAAGCTGAAAATCATTCCCAAAACTATTTTTGTCTAACGCTAGCACTTAGATATAATTTCTGTTCAAACTATTGTCATACAACTTAACGTTTATCGATTCAAATTTGAACCAATGACTATCGAGTTAATTAGTTGTTCCAGTCAGCCAATCAAAATCCTTAGAACTTTGACATGTAAATGGGTGGAATTTATAAGTTTACAGCTTTAAAGACAGCTTTTTTTGCTAATTTCTGTTCTCGTACAGTAATTTTTAGAAAGAAGTATAAGATTCATCAATGCATTCCATTGCAACTTACCAAACTTCGCACAGTACAGCTATTATTTTGAATGTTTTTAACTATCTAATGAAAAGTCGATAATATCTTAGAATGTTTTTGTGACATCCGAAAAGTTTTTTAAGAATTAAAATAAAGTCAACTATATACATCTCGATTGAAAAATATATCATAACTCTTTAAAAAATGAATTGGAAGTTATACTAATAACTATCTTTAAAGCATTTTAGAGATTAAAAAGAAAGGTACCAATTTCGAGCCATCGTAATAAAACTCAAAAGACTCACGTACTAGAAAATGTATTTTAATCCTAAATTCCAATAGAACGACGATATTGGCCTATTTTAATATATATATATATACTAATTGTGTTATATAATCAAGAGAAGTTCATTCTCAAAAAACATTGTGATTTAACTGCAACAATATAAAAATAAATTAAACAACACTTTTAAAATATAGAACTCTTCAAAAAGGGTCAAATTCAAATGCAGATACTCATACATACTTCAATAAATTTTAAGAAATATTATTTATTCGAAGATACCAAGTAAAAAATAAAATCCTGAAACCTCTCTATGCTTAGCCTTTCACATAAAGTTTATGTTGGCAACCTTCATAATGTGAGTGTCCTAATTGTTGTTCAAAATTTAACTTCCATATTTCACTTGCAGCACAATAAGTACTGTACCATTTATACCATGAGCGATAAGACTGAAGGATTAACACAGATTAATTGTTAAAATATTGATGTGCTTCTTAGTTATCCACTTTTGTTCGATCTTTAAGAAATAGGATTAAAATACGACGAAGAAAAACACAACTACTCCAGACTTTCATCTATGGTTCACTTAAATAGCTATCTATGATTGTCACATGATAATCAAATGACCAAATTGCAGTATTTACATGCCATAAGACATGTTCAGTTTATTTCATTTCTTTGTGCTTCAAATGACTGCATTATTATGCTGTTATACCATTTTGTAAATGTTTCTCTTTAGTGATGAATTAAATGCTTACGAACAATTTGAGTTCAAGGACATTGCTTAGTTCTCTTGTTATATCGAATGGAATCGTAATTAAACATCTTGAATTTATTATCAAGCAATTTTCAGTGTAAATTTTATTTTCGTATTAAATGTTTAACTGTGTAGAAAAGAACGCTTTAATTTTCTCCTAACCGATCTTAATACTTTCATAAACTAACTTCATTTATGTTTATGGTTTTTAATTTTAAATACATAGATTCAGTAATTCAAAAAAACACTGATAATGAATGAGAATGTAACGAGATTCCCAAAATTCACAATCACGTTGCCTTTTGTATTGATAGTGTAATTTCTATATATAAAGTTCTGTAAAAACGATAACAGACTGATTTTTAGTAAGAAACAATTTCAGCTACGTGTTTACACATTTTTAAGATTTTCGAACATATAAATTTCTGTTAAAACATTTATCTGACTATTCTAA